ACTTCTTGTTTTTTTGTCCCAAGCGCTTTGCCTACTGTTATCTTTGGCCCCAGGACCTTCGCACATGCTGTGATAGCTGCCATGTTTCTCCCCTCTCCTTGGTGAACTCCCATGTTTCCTCAGGTCATGGCTTAAGAATCAGTTCTTGGGGCTGGAGAGATGGCTCTGAGGTTAAGAGCACTAACTGTTCTTCCAAACGTCCTGAGTTCAGTTCCCAGCAACCACATGGTGGCTCACAACCATCTATAACGAGATCTGGTGCCCTCTTCTAACATTCAGGCAGAACACTGTATACATAATAAATAAATAAATCTTTAAAAAAAATCAGTTCTTCCTGGAAGTCTTGCCTGACCATCCAGAAGTTGTCTTGGTGCCCTTTCTAGGTCCCAAAGAATGTAGTTCTTTTATTCTCACACCAATCACTCTGTATTGTAATTTTCTTATCTGTTTCCTTCAGGCCATGGTAAGAGATGACATTTTATATCACGATGCAGTGCATATACATATGTATAAGCATATGTGGCACGTGCAGGTGAACCAGAATAGTATTTACTAGTACTGCATATAATACACATATATAATACACATTAATACTTCACTTTATTCTATTTCATTAGACTCTATTTCATTTAAAATGGTGTTTAAAAAAAAAAAAGTCTTAGTCACCTGTGTTGGTATACACCTTTAATTCCAGCACTTGGGAGACAGAGGCAGGCAGATATGTGAGCTCGAGGCAGATATGTGAGTTCGAGGCCAGCCTGGTTTTTACAAGGTGAGTCCCAGGACAGCCAGGGCTACACATAGAAACTCTGTTTCAAAAACAATAAATAAATATAAAAAATAAAGTCTCACATGGCCCAAGCTAGCCTCAAGTTCTCTGTACTTGAGCGTGACCTTGGATTTCTGATCCGCCTACCATCACCTCCGAAGTGTGAGGGCTACTGGTGTGTGCCACCATGTCCGCCCAGCTGAGAAAGTGTTTTGAGACCTACTAATTGGATTTGTGATTCACACAAAATGTCTTAAACCCACATTTTCAAAATCCTACCCTATAATAGGCTAGCACACTTTTTTTTTTTTTTTTTTTTTTTTTTTTTGCCAAAGGCCTGTTAGTTATTTTAGCATTTGTAGTCATGGGGTTCTTATTGTCAATCATATTAGAACTCATTGATGTCATAAAATACCTAAGAAAGGATTTACTGCTGTTCTTTGGGTCTTGCCATCTCACAGGTTTCTGTCTACTATCTGTGTCTCTATGACTTGGGCCTGAAATGAGGCAGATCATCCTGGCCAAGAGGGCCTACGGAGCTCAGCTTCTTACCTCAAAGCAACCAGGAAGCAAAAAGAGACAGACAGGGGCCTGGGACAACATGGCACCCCACCGACATGCCTCCAAAGACTTGTTTTCTCTAATAAAGCCCTGTCTCCTACTTCCCACCACCTGGTAATAATTCAGTAACAAGAATCCTTTAAGGAATTAATTGTTTAAGTCAGAGTTCTCACCACCAATCTCTTCCAAAAAGCCCATTGTCTGGTAGCTGAGACTTTTAGGGAGACATTTCACATCAAATCACAGCACACATAGGGTAGTCTGTTCAGTTGGAACATCTAGCTCACCCCTGCATGATCCGGAAAGCCCCGTTCCGGTGTCTCTCCAAACCCTGCCCTCTCAGAGAATCTCCAACAAAGGGAGACTCCAAAAAGCCCGGTTCTGCCTTCTTGACAGTCACAGCAGCTCCTCTCCTGAAGTTGCCAGCAGCCCAAGTCCCCACTAAGCAGTCAGCTTTTGACCGTGCTTGGGCACAAACTCAGCTTGTGGTGGACACATCATCACCCCTCACCTACGAGCTATATAATCTCCTTGCCTTAGATTGGGCATAAGTCTTCTCTGGCCTTGATTTCTGGGGCTGGAGAACCCACCTGGAAGTTGCTTTGCTCAGATAAACCTGTTGTTATACTTTTTCAATTCATCTTAATCTGGCTTACTGTGTCAGCAGAGAAACCTTTTATTGGGGGACAGAAAACCTATTATAGTCAAAGTCTGCATTTGTGTCCTAAAGCATCAGATAATATGCAAAGTGATGTTTATGCCTCTGTTTCAACAGCTCTACAGACTCTCTAACTTGAAGTTCACATAATTTATACACTATAAAATATTCTCTTCCTGGTTTTGTTTATTCTTTTCCTTCCTTCTCTCCCTCCTTCCTTCTTTCCTTCCTTCCTTCCTTTCATTCTTTCTTCTTGAACAGAGTCTCAGGACCTGGCTTTGAACTAGAGGTTCTCTGGCTTTAGCCTTCTCAATTTATGCCATAACAGGCATGAAACCATGCTCAGGGGGAAGTGAATTCAGAAAGGAGCAGTTTGCATAGGAAATTTTTTGTTTTGATTTTTGAGACAGGGTTTCTTTGTGTAGTCCTGGTTGTCCTGGAACTCTCTCTGTAGACCAGGCTGGCCTCAAACTCACTGAGATCCACCTGCCTCTCTCTCCTGAGTGCTGGAATTAAAGGCATGCACCACCACCACCCGGCTATGAAACATTTTTATTAGAAAAGTACTGTCTGTTCATGGGAGAAAAGTGAACGGGTCGGTGGAACAAAGTGAGTAAAGGAATCTTTGACAATCCCACGGCTTGCAGATAGCATATCCTTTCCTATTTTTTCCTATTTTTTTTTTTTTTTGTTGTTGTTGTTGCCAGGAATTTGGAGTTTATTTTTGGCTGGAGAAGGAGCAGTGAAACATTTCGTTTCTCTTCAGCTCACCCGGAAACCCAGCTTCTCCTCTCTGACTACAGAGACTGAAGCTAAGGAGAAATGATAAGGAGGGGGAGCAGAAAGCCTGAGTGTGTGGGAGTAATTAGATACACAGCATACTAAGTTCCTAGGCCTGTGCCCCACCACACCTTTAGAGACAGATGTGGTGCCTACCCTTTGTCGGTGTGTAACTACAAGGGTAGACTAGGAATTATGATTGCGAGAAAGGGGAAATAAAAGGTGTTTTCAGGGCTTGTGGGATGTGTCTGTCTAGCTTTCAAGTATGAAGCAGGAAATGCCTCCCTCCCTAAGGAAGTGAAATAATAATTGCGCAAGAAAATGGGTAATTCCATAATGACAGAATGCATATTATTATTCAGAGGTGTCTGGCTCAAGGGGACAGAGGAACTAGAAGTCATGAGCTTAGCTGGTTGAGGTTGGCGAGGACGGCATGAGAACACTGCCAATCATCTAGACCTAATGGCGTGTTTGTGGAAATTAAAGACACAAATAAAAGGACAAATGCAATCCCAAGGAAGCAGTCAGCCAGTTTCAGAAGGAGAAACATTCTAGGGACAAGCTGCTTCCTTTAGGTTCTCAATGAATAAGCTCTGGGAAAATGCAAGAGAAGAGGCAGAGGTCTGTTACAGAATAATAGAGACTTTAAGACATAACCAAAGGCCGTGTGCAAATCTCAGCCCTCTCATTCTTTTTAAAAAAAAAATGTTTAAAAATTAGATTCATTTTTTCTTGTGTGTGTACATATTTTGCCTGCCTGTGCATACTTGTGTGCCTGGTGCCCAAGGAGGTCGGAAGATGGCATCCAATCCCCTCGAACTGGAGTTACAGACAGTTGTGAGCCACCATGTAGGTGCTGGCAATGGAACCTGGGTCCTCTGCATGAGCAAAAAATTCTCTTCACCTCTGAGCCATGTATCTCTCCAGCCCCCTTTATCGTTCTTTCGGTGAGGTCTCACTTTGTAGTTCAGGCTGGCCTAGAATTTGGGGAGCTCCTCCTGCCTCAGCTTCCCAGATGTTGGGATTACAGCCATCTGCCATTATACTCAGCTCTCATTATTTCTTGATCAGAACAGAGCAACACTAAAGGCATATTCGAGCTAACTGGAGGAATTTTAATGTGAGGACACTGTATTAAGAAACTCCTGGGGCCGGTGAGATGGCTCTTCACGAGCCTGACACCTGAGTTCCTTTCCTAGGACCCACATGGTGGAAAGAGAAAGCCGCCTCCAAGCATCATTTTTTTAGACCGTAGCGTAGGTTGTCCTTGAACTGAAGGCAATCCTCCTGTCTTAGATTCTTAGTGATGGGATTGCAGAATAAGTCGTTACACCTGGCTTGGGAGGTTCAGTAGCTCTGCAAGGCTAATGATATGGAAATTTTTTTTTACATTAAAAACTTTAAGACCTATTTATCATATACTTATGTATACAGTGTGTTTACACATGCCTGTGCCTGTGGAGGTGAGAGGACAGCTAGCAGGAACTGCTTCTCTCCTTCCAGGTGGGTCCTGGGGACTGAACTCAGGTTTTACTATGCTTGGCAGCAGGTGCCTTTCCCTGCTGAGCCATCGTGCTGGCCTATGGAGATGCCATTATATTGACATAAAGGGCAGTTACCAGTGCTCTTGATTGCCCGTGGAGAAATCTTGGAAAGCCAGGCTCTGTTTGCACGATCCTGTTGTAATACGGCTCATCCCATGCAGTATAACTGCTTTCCTATTCCTGTCTACCAAACATCACTTCCAACCTACACTGGGGGTGGGGGTGGGGCGAGAAAGAGAGGTCCCTGAAGCGGACGTTGGCAGGGAGGTCTAGGTTCTGGATGTGTGGGATTGTGAAGGATGAGAGAAGGTGGAGTTTGCCTCCTGAGGCTCTTCAAAACTCCAAACCAAGTGTGGATTGTGTCCCACGGAGGCTCTCTGCTTCCCAGCCCGGCTAGGGGAAGCCACTTTCTGCTTTTTTGGTCTCTAGCTGTTTTGGTGGGAGACCCGGATGTTACCAGACTGGAAACCATCTTACCAACACTGGGAGAGGATTTGGGGATTATCAGGGGAGGTTGTATACCCCACTCCCCACCCGAGTTAGAGAGCAGAGTAAAAAGGACGGGGAGAAAGTTATCCCGAATCCTTATCTCCATTCCCAGGATAATGAGCCGATCATGAGGGTGAAGTCACAGGAACTCAGAGACTTCAAACAAGGGATTTTATTTAACCTTTCGTGTGTGCTGACATTCAGTCCTCCCCCGCGCCTTGGAGTGTTTTCCTTTTGGAAGCGTGCTCGGGAAGGGAGTGGACCACTGCCAACTCGGCCCTCATCTTCGCCGGCGGGGCCTGCGCGCAGCCTTCTTTTCTCCTCGGCGCCTTCGAGCCGGGACAGGAGGAGCAGCAGGAGTTGGGGGTCGAGGTGCAGGGCCGGGTGCCGAGCGGACAGAGGCGCCTTGGGCAGGCTTGTAGACCAAATGGAAGATGAAGGCGTTGCAGTACCTGCAGCGAGGGCGTGGTCGGGGGCAGGGCAGGTGAGGCTAGGGCACAGGCTCAGGGCTAGGTGCAGTTAAGGTGGTGGTGGTGGTGTGAGGGACTCTAAACCTGACGCCTGGGTTCGATCCCCAGAAAAAATAAAGGAGCAAAAGAGTCTTTTTAGGAGTAGGGTGAGGGGTTGAGAGATGTTGTGAATGAGATCTAAAAGGTTGTCTGTGTTGGAGGTTGTCCAGACCAGCAAGGAGTCAGGACGACAGAGATGCAGTGTTGAAAGGCTGGGGCGAAGAGAATCCCAGGAGTACAGAGACCTTTTAGGCTACAGAGTATATAAATCAGGGGTCAGGAGAGCAATAGGCAGCCATGAGCCCTTACCACGGCATGCAGTTGTCAGCAGCTCTGAGGCGGAATGGGGAGCGGAAGGGGTTGGGCTGGGGCGAGCTGGTGCCCCCTCCTGTGGCCACCGCCATGGTCTGATCATCCATCACACAGCCGTACTCACTGCTCTCAGTGAAGAAAGCTGGCACTCGGAGAGACTGAGGTTTGGGTGGGCCCTCAGACACTCCCTGGGAGGCTCCTTCGCCCAGATACATCCCAAGCCCCACCCTCCCAGATAGATAAAGCCTCAGAAGAGATCAGGATGCTGGAGAGGTACTCCCCAAGTCTGTGGAGCAGTTGAGGGGTGGGTGAGCCCAGTCCTTTAGAGAAAGAAAGGAACTGGGTAGGTGAGATTATCCACCTGCAGTCGGGGCAGAGAGCTCAGCCATGTGTCCTTGAGACCAAAGCCAGAGTTAAATCCTGCCAAGAGAGGAAGACACTGGTGTCCACGGTGTGCTTCTTTTACATTCCCCACATCCCCGTCCTTGAGCCCTAGGCTCTTACCAATAACCAGATCAGGCTTGGGTCCCTGGAGCAGGTGGTAGGGCCGGGTGGACACCCTGATTTGCAGATCCCTTCGCCCTCCCTTCTCCTTGGTCCCAGAGCTGAGCCGTGCTGATACCCCAGAACCAGGACGCACAGATACCTCAGGGCCATCCTGTGGGTCCAGGAGTGGGGTGGGGAAGCCACTGGAAGTCCAGGTAATGGGAGCACCAGGAAGAGCAGAGGAAGGTGGAGGGGAAGGAGAGGGTCCCACCAGGCTATCAGAGGCGGGGCTGGAGAAGCGGGTCCCTCTCTAGTTCTTACCCTCTGCATAGTAAAATGCTGCTGGTCACTCTCAGGTGGTAGACTGTCGCCCACAAACTGCAGCTCCAGGGCCACATGGGGGAGAAGGACCAAGAGCTCCTTAAGAGACAGAGAGAAGGTCAGCTCGGGGTCCCACGCCACGACCACATCTATCTTTTCAACGCATACTCTCTGAGTAGGGACTTACCCAAAACACCATGATGAGATCAAATTCCTTCCCAGCCTCTACCACATGGATCTTCAGTGACTGCTTGTTCTGGATGTTGAGCTCAGGGACTGGTGAGAAGTCCACTCATGAAAGATCCGGGCTCCCCTACTGCCCCCCCACCCCCCACCCTCCCGTCCTGTCTGCACTCCTTACAGGACTGGGGTACCAGGTGGGTGATGACGTAGTACACAGTCAGCGGGTAGGTGAGAAGTACAGCCATGGGGGAGTCCAGGCTAAGGCCCCGCCACGTGTAGTAATCCTGCCATGAACCTGGGGAGAGTTGTCTTAACGGGGGGCCTGATCCCAGGCTTGGGCCTTGATCTCTAATAAGCACCGCCCCCCCCCCCTTTCTCAGGCACCAGGTTTCTGTCTGCCACCCCCTCCAGGACCTCTGTCCCAACTCCTAGCTCTTTCAGGACCCCTCCAGCTCACCAAAGAGGCTCCTGGGAGGGTCTAGAGGCACCGGAGGCATCAAGGCAGGTCCATCTCCCTGCAGAAGCTGGTAAGGATCACCTGAGTGGATGAGAAACAGTGCCTAGGGGCTGTACACCCCCACCTGCCTCGTCTCCCTGCTCTTCCTGGAAGAGCTATGCACCCTGGGAGAAGGACTGAAGCTGTAGCAGAATTGGCGTTAGCCTGGGGACAGGGTTATTGGATGGGTCAGGCAGAATGACTCCTTTGAGGTCTGTGGAAAGACTTAAAATAGTCCTAATGGTGTTAGTACAGGGGTGGTGTGTCTAGTAGTGGTTATATGGGACCTGGTCCACTCCCCCAAGCCCCCATGGTGTTAGTACAGGGGTGGTGTGTATAGTAGTGGTTATATGGGACCTGGTCCACTCCCCCAACCCACGGATGGTGTTAGTACAGGGGTGGTGGTGGTTATATGGGACCTGGTCCACTCCTCCAGCCCCACAACCTTCCCTCTAGGCTTAAGAGTCCATTTCTGGCAAGAGGACCCACATACCATTGAGAAGGTGGCTGAGGGAAGGTGTGCCGCCCCAGGGGGTCCTGGGGGCGCCAGGCCCTGGAATCAGCATGCTGAGCTGGGTCCAATAGCCACGAGTGAGGCCCCGAGAGGCCAGGAAAGCTTCCTTGTTAAAGGTTTCACTGGTCACTTCTGCAGAAGGGGGTGAAGACTGAGGGCTTGGTGGCGAGGCCCCAGGACTTTAGCTTCCCTCTGCTATCCCTAAGGACCCTGACTTTGAGCCTGGTTCTATCTAGGGAAGGAATTTTCTTTTCTGAGTGTCGACCATGTTCCAGGCACCAAGAGCTTACATAACCCTTGAAATAATTCAATGTGATTTTATATTCGCTAGTATTCCTCTTTTACAGATGAGGAAACTTGGGTTTGGAGTGGGAAGTTTTTGTTCTGAGACAGGGTCTCATTATAGCACAGGCTGGCTTTAAAGTCACTATGTAGCAGAGGATGGCTTTGAACCTTTGCTCCTCCTGTCTCCACCTTCCAAGTACTGGGATTACAGGTATGCCTATCAGGACCAGCTCTTGTTTTGTCTTGTTTTTGAGACAAGGTGTCACGTAGCACAGGGTGCCCTGGAACATTAGATCCTCCTGCCTCAGCCTCCCAAGTGCTGGGAACGTGCCCCCATGCCTGGCTAAGTGGACTATTTGAGGTCGTGCACCTGGACAGTGGTAGAAGTGGGCAGCAAGCGTTTGAACCATGCCCTCAGATGCCCGGGTCTCTCTCTGGGGTCAGGTCCTTCGGCCTCAGCTGCTCTGTCTCTGATCCCTTATACCCAGTGCACAGCACCAGCTCGTATTCCAAGGACGCAGACTTCAACCAAATACTCATTCTCCGAGCCCTGGAGCCAATCCCAAAGACCTGGTCCCGGGCTCCCCTCCCTGCCCCGTTGGCCTTCTTACGGTACCTGCGGTGTAGGTGAAAGGCAGACTGGCCAGTTCTCCTGCTCGCTCCATAAAAGCGGCAAGTCTCGGGCACCAAAATCTGTGGCTCACATCATCTGGGCATCGGTGCCAGTCGGCCTGGAAACAAGCCTCCCCACAGTATAAGACAGCACCGCACTGGGGGCTGGGGACACAGGGGTAAAGCATTCGTCGTTGCGGGTCCTGTTGGCTGTAATCCGCGTGCTTGTATTGCATCCTGCGGCTAACTTGTTTCTCCTACCCTTTCCTGTCTTCCTGGCCCTCCCTCTGTCTGTCTGCGGGGACACCCCAGACTTGGTTGTCTGACTGCTGGAGTGCTGGAGTGTCCAGCCTTGGGGGTGCTCACCAGGGTGTCAACTTCACTTCGAAGCTGTGCTTGTGACAGACATGGCATGTCCTAGCCCGGAGGGAAGCGAAAGTGAAGCCTGGCCGAGGGCCCCATGTCCGCATGGGGGTCTTCGCTAACTTCACGCCCAGCCTCGGGACAAGGCTCTCCAGATCTCTGCATGGGGATGAAGGTGGTATCAGGCTGAAAGGGCTTGTGGGGGGGTGTTCCGATCCCACTCCTCCCCACTCTCTGATAGCAGATATGTGTACCGATGCAGGTGGGCATCTCCCACAGTAAGCTGGCGGGGCTTTCGGGGGTCCCCAGAGCCCATAGGGCAGGCCATGCTATGGCAAAGGAGAGCATAGGCCCGAGGAGCCAGATTCTCAGTGGCTGGGCTCTGGCTTCCATCCATTAGCAGATCAATGCCCAAGATGGTGCCATGCTCATCTGTCACCAGCAAAAGGCAGGAGAGGTGCAGGGGGGCAGCCTCTGGGGAAAGAGGGACAATTTGGGTGAGAAAAGGGGGCAGATAGTCACAGTCAGATATACCAAATTTAGATGCCTTGAGGGGCAGACAACTTCAATGAGTAGAAGGGACTAGATCAAAGAGGCGGTCCCCATCTAAAGGGGGCAGCTGCTATACAGGGCCAGCATGTAAGTAACATAGGTACCTAATCAAAATCGGGGTTTTTGTTTCTCTGTTATTTCACGCCTCTGGGTGTTTTCTCCACATGTATGTCTGTACCTCACATGCATGCAGTGTCTTCGGGAGGCAGAAGAGGGTGTGGGATCCCCTTGGAAATGGGAGTCACAGAAGGTAGTGAGCCACCATGGGGGGGCTGGTGTTTGAACCTGGGTCCTCTGGAAGAGCAGCCAGTGCTCTTAACCTCTGAGCCATCTCTCCGGCCCGAGCACCTGGATTTTTCTTAAGATTCAAGGTCTTTGGACTTTCATTCTTTCCAGTGCCTAGATGCTGGTTCAAATTAAAAGACAAAACCACACCGTGGCAGAACTTCGGGCATCAGACTTGCATGAAGGTTACCAGCTTGTGACTCCTACTTGGGTTTGAGTGACATGGAGGAGTTCAGAAAGGTGTCTGGACAGGGGAGAGGGCAGGGCCACCCTGGGTTCTCACCACTCCTCCGCCCTTTCCTCTTTTCAGGAGCCCTCTCATCCTCTCCTCTGTCCTCTAGGCGGCGTCCGTCATCCCAGCTTGTCTCTTGCTGGGTCACCTGTGACTCGGCCGGAGGCTTTGCTTCTTGGGGGAATTCCCTGCTCGGAGGGGCTGGCTCCCCACTTCCCTGTGGTTCCACCTTCTCCGTGCCTGAACTGGCCTTTCCATTCTCCTCCTCATCGTCTTCCTCTCCCCCTTCTTCCCCATCCTCTAGGCTGACAAAACTGACGTAAGGACTCAGGTCCCTCAGGTGGAGTGGAGGCTCATCTCCCAGGAGCCGCGAAGCCCCCAGGCCTGGCCCAGGACCTGGCTCTGCACCTTGCCCCAGGCTGATGCCCACACTACGGTTTGGTAAGACGTGGAGCACCCAGAGGGCAGGGTCCTGGGGCAGCCTCCTTATCTGAGCCTCCAGTTGACGCCATCGGCCCTCAAGGTTGGTCCCCATGGTCCCCTTCTCTGCCACGAACTTGCGGAACCAGCCAAAGAGAAGAGCAGCGAAATCAAGGAACTCATCCCGGTATCCTGACACAAACTCCATGCTTTCAGACACACAGGGCCTGGACCCAGACTGAGCAGAAAGGGATGTATGACAACCGTCAGGAACAGGGTAGTGGTGAGGGTATGGGCTGGGTCACAAAAAGGAGAAGGGTATGTATGGGTTTGAGATAAAATCTGTAGAGTATTAGGAAATGAGAATAGGATTTGCAGGGATAAGGATGGAGGAAAGCTAGATTGGAAAGTGGATATTAAGGGTTAAAGATGAGTACTCGGGGATGAAATCATAGTTGGGGCACAAAACTCAGTGACTCAAATCCTAAAGCGAGACTGGACTGAAGGGAAGACACGAGGTAAGGCTAATCCTACGGGGAAAGGCTTGCTGAGAAGGGAAAAACTTGGGGTCTGTTGATGTGTGGGAAGTACAAGCGAGAGTTAAGTACTGAGGCTTCTCTTGGGCGAGGATCAGTTTGGTGTGAGCCCCAGTAAACCCACCCCTTGCCGGCCGCTCCTCTCCTCCGGTACCTGCAGCCGCCGCCACTTTTCGAAGGTAAATACCTCGTGCTGGAGGACCGCGGTGACGTCAGGGCTGCCCGAGCCCACTGCTCATAACTTGGGTGGCATGCTTAGGGCGTCTGGCCAGTGCGTGCACACTCCCACAGGCCTGGTGACCTGCTCGACTGCTTCACCTTGGCCATGTGACTGGATCCCACTGTGACCCAGCGGACCAGGGAAGTGAAAGCATCTTGGAGCCGGGAAGCAGACAGACAGGCGAAAGTCTGACATCCCCGAACCCAAGCGAGTCACTCTTCGGGGGGGGGGGGGGGGGGGGGGGGGGCACGGCTCGCCCTCTCAGATTCCTCTGGCGCCACGGTCCGAGCTTTCTTTCAATTTTGTTAGGCAGTCTTGGCTGACCCCACGACTGCTGGTGAGTCTAGAGTCGGGTGAAGGAGCTCCGCCTTCGGGGGTTCCCCGACGTGGGGACGTGGGAGCTGGGCGCAGCGCAGGCTCCCCGGTACTGACCAGACGGTCGGTTCGGGATACCGCGCGGGGACGGAGGGCACCACCACCTCGCGCCCTCTCCCCACCTGAGCTCCGCAGAACTTGAGGCAGGCGGGGTGAAGAATCAAAAGCAAGAGAATCAGCTGGATGTCGGCTAGGTGCCCTGGCGGCAGCAAGCTCCGCAGAGCCCGGAGATGAGGCAGGGCCTCGGACCCCTGCCCTTAGCGCTCTTTTTCTTCTTGCTGAATCTGCTGGCCCGGCCAGGTCAGTCAAGGGGTGGGGCTGGGGCAGAATGGAAGCTGTGGAGGGGCACAAGAACTGAGGGATTAAGAACTCAGCCCAGAGCTGCCAAAGGCAGCAGCCAGGACGAGGGGAAGGCTGTCTCGGCTTAGACTGGGACTGGCATTACACTGGTCTGGCGGGTAGGGGAGGCCGAGTGAGACAGCTGAGCTGGAAACCGAACGGTCTGAGCACCAAGGCCGATCCCTGTTTTCTCTTCAGGTGATGGTAACCAGGGCAGTATCACTGGAAGCTGTGCCTGTGATAAGAGAATTCGTTCTGGCACCCGGGTACCGCCTGCTACCGTGGATCATATCCGAAAACACCTGAAAACATACGATCGCTGTTCATTCTTCATCAGGTACAGTCACTCCCCCTGCCCCCCCCCCGGGGGGAGTTATAGGACCCAAACACCTAGTCGGGATGGGGGAGCCTAGCTCCTTACCAGTTTCACTTATCTGGGGATTTCCAGCTCTAGTGGGACTCACCTTGGGTGACTTCACATCTTTGGAATGAGGAAAAGTAGGAAGGGGAAGGAGTGGTCATAGGAGGCTAGATTGTTCATCTTGCAGGTTTCAGTTACCGTCCACGAGTGTGTGCGGAGGAAGCCGAGACTCGTGGGTTCATGAATTGGTAAGCTGCTTTGACAGCAAAGGTGAGAGCCGTTTCTATTCTCCAGTGGGCCTCCATCTTACCATTTCCTTTGCCTCTGCCACACAGCACTTTCCTAACTCTGGCTGAAGTGCTTTCTTAATTCTGAGCCTTCTCAATCAATATCTTTTCTGTCATCTTCTGGTTTCAGCCAATTTGCTCTACCACACACGCCATTTTCTTCTTCTATATAATTTATTTTTATTTCGTATGCATTCATGTTTTGTGTAAATGTATGTCTTATGAAGGTGTTAAATCCCCTGAAACTGGAGTTACAGGCAGTTATGAGCTGCCATGTGGGTGCTGGGACTTGAACCCAGGTTCTCTGGAAAAGCAGCCGGCACTCTTAACCACTGAGCCCTAATCTCTCCAGCCCTACTTTATATTTTCTTGAAGTCACTACTATAATATAAAGTGTACTCGAGATTGGTCATGCGAAAAAACTGCTCTACCACTGAGCTATTGCCCTGCTTTTTAAACATTTTCAGACAGGGTCTGGCTAAGTTGACCAGGATGGTCTTGAACTTGTTATCCTCCTGCCTCAACCTCTCTAGTAGCTGGGATTACAGGTCTCTACAACGGGCTTGGCTTTCACTATTGTATTTTAATTGAAATCACTTGAAGGTACTCTTTTCATTTTCTAATACTTAATGATGAAAATAAACGTTAAAGTTGAAAGGGTTTATCCAGGTGTGGATAACCCTAACATTCTGGGAGGCAGAGGCAGGCGGATCTCGGTGAATCTGAGGCCAGCCTGGGCTACAGGGTGAGTTTTAGGACAGCCAGGGCTCAAAACAAAACAAAACAAAAAGTTGAAAGAATTATACAGCGAACAACCTCTATGAACATCAACTACATTCTTCAGTATTTGATTTACAATTTTATATTTATTTACATAATAAAGCAAATACACAGTCAGTAATAGTTACTTATTGGTTCTACAGCATTTTACTATTCTTGCATTATTGCAAACCTGTTCTGTTATCTATCCATCTCTCTATCCATCATCAATCTTCCTGCTCTTTTCCACCCTTAAAGTGATCCTCACAAGTGCTAGGATTACAGGCATGTACCATCACTCTCCCTTTCAACTCATCTTATTTTAAATGTTTTTCATCATAAATTGCAGATATTATTGTATTTAATCCCCAAACAGCATGTATTTTACTGAGTTCAATTTTTTTATTTGTTTGTTTTGTTTTTGTTTTTTCAAGACAGTGCTTCTCTGTGTAGCCTTGGCTGTTCTGGAATTTACTCTGTAGACCAGGCTGGCCTTGAATTCATAGACATCTGCCTGCTTCTGCCTCCTGAGCACTAGGATTAAAGGCCCAACTCTGAGTTCAATATTTTATAGTTCTTTTTTTTTTTTTAGGTAAAAAAAAAAAACAAAAAAGCCTCAATCAACTAAATCAAAAGATCTTAAGTATTCATAAGTCAGTTTTCAAACATACAAGAAACATACAAGCCAGGCGTGGTAGCATACACCTTTAAGCCCAGCACTTGGGAGATAAAGGTGGGTGGATCTCTGTGAGTTTGAGGCCAGCCTAGTCTACAGAGCAGTCAGGGATACACAGAGAAACCCTGTCTCCAAAAAACAAACGAACAAAAAAGAAAGATAGAAAATAGGAAATGTTCTTCAATAGTCTACCTGGTGTCAACGGTACCCACACTGCCTTTCAGGCTATGGAGACCTATATTATTTCCTTCAACCCTCCCAGACACCCTGGGCCTTGTTACCAGGAAGTGAGTCCCAGAACAGCTATAGATGAAGAGTAAAGTCCCTCCAGGGTCCAGTGCAGTGCAGCACCCCTGCTTACCCCGTGACTTTGTGGTTTGTGATCCTTGTCCGTCTGTCCCTCGGCCACTGTCTTCCTCCCCTGGCCTTCAGCTGCCCTGCCCCAAATCTCTTTTTGCACAGAACTGGGGAATGAGTCCAGGACCTCACCTCATACATGCTAGGCAAGAACTCTACCACTGAGCTGCAGACACAGCTCTTCAACTGTCCCCTGGATGCTCCCCATGCCCCTCCCTCTGCTGGGCTCAGGACATGACACCCACATAGGTGATTTTAGCAGTTGAGAGACTCAGCAAAGCAAATCACTCTGACTTTTCTCCACCTTTCTGGGTGCCAGCAGGCCACAGAGGATTTCCATGACTTACGTCACCTGGAACTGAGGCATAATAGATACTTTCATGCTATAGGAGCCCTGGCCAGGACTCGGAGGCCAAAAAGAATCTGGCAAGGCCATACTGGTCCCCTCCCTGTTACCCTGGGGTGAGGATGGGGACTGGAGATTTAATCCAGGGTCTTGTACATGCTACACCCTAACCCCCCTTGTTCATGACCACTAATCAGAACCCTTCCTGTCCAATCATACAACTGTCCATTCCTCATCCAGTCTAAGCACAATGGAATAGGTTCCTGTGTCCCATCAGACTTTGACTCAACTTGTTCTGCTTTTCTGGTTAATCTGCTTTTTTTTTTTCTTATTGGTGGCAAGGGTGTGTGTGTGTGTGTGTGTGTGTGTGTGTGTGTGTGTATGGCCTTGCCCTGAAGATAGGTGAGGAAGATACTTCAGCTGTTCCAGTAGCCCTGATCCAGTAGCCCTGATTTGTTTTCTCTCCAGAGTGTGGAAATGGTCACGGGAAGAGTTCCCACCACCAGGAGCATTTGCCTCATGCTAGCACCCGGATCCCAGTGGCCACAGAGGGGACACCTCCAGACACAAGCACCCCTGCACCGATTCAGAGTACCCAGCAGTCCACTTTTCCACCTGGAACACTGTCCTTGAACAAAGAGCTCACCCACCACAGCGAATCCACTGCCCTCACGTCAGGCTATGAAACCACCGCCCTCACGTCAGGCTATGATCCCGAAGCTGGACCTGAGGCTGAGGCCAATAAAAACCGGTCGGAGGGCAACCTGCAAGAAGGAACGCCAGGAGCTTCGGCTGGCCTACCAGCCGCAGCACCAGTGCTGTCTCTCCTGGCCATTGTTTTCCTTCTCACAGCAGCCATAGTGTACATTCTGTGCAACAGGAGGAGAGTGAGACGGCAAAGCTCTGCAGGTACGTGAGACTCCTAAACCTCACCTCAGGGACTAGAGCCTTCCTGGCAAGGGTCCTGCCCTGGTAGCGGCTAACAGAGGTACCAGATAGTAAGGCTGTCGGCACCATGGGCCGGGAGGGAAGTCAGCCAGCATGGACTAGGTCTTTAGGTTATTTAATGTCGAGGGGTCTGACTTCCCATTCAGTTCACGTCCTGCCTCAGTTCTGCTTCATCTCAGAGTTCACCTCCCAATTTCTTTATTCTTTCCAGATCTGCAGCTCCATTATACACTTGTGAACCAAGACTCCAGAGCCTGAAGAAGAACGGAAGCTTGTGAGAGAGGACTCGGGAGATAGGTGGCAGGCTGGGCTCTATCACTGAACTGGACCTTTGTTTGTTCTTTCCTATGCTGCTCTGAGACAAAGTACTCAGATCATAATCTGGGGCAGCTCTAAGTTGTTCATTCTCTGCCTCTACCTACTAGGTTCTGGGATTGGACAAAGGTCACATCTCCCCTAATTTACTTCTGTAAAAAATGTATAAGTTTTTAGAGTTCTGTTTTGTTTAGCCAGGATCTTATTTAGTCTAAGCCTGCCTCAAATTCCCTATGTATCTGAGGATGACTATTGATTCTCCTACCTCCACATCCATAGTGGATTACATACTTGCTAAACACCTTTTTTTTTTTTTTTTTTGAGACAGAGTTCTCTATGTAACAGCCTTGGCTATCCTGGAACTCGCTTTGTAGATCAGGCTGGCTTCAAATTCACAGAGATCCACCTGCCTCTGCTCTTCATGATTAATAATATATGAGCAGCCCCCCTCCCCTTAGACCTCTCCCCTGCTGATAATAAAATGTACTATTCTAAATTATGTGGTCTAGAAGTACAGCCCCAGGCTGGAGAGATGGCTCAGTGGTTAAGAGCACTGGCTGCTCTTCTAGAGGACCTGAGTTCAATTCCCAGCAACCACATGATGGCTCACAACCATCTGTAATGAGATCTGGTGCCCTCTTCTGGCCTGCAGACAAACATGCAGACAGAACACTGTATACATAATAAATAAATAAATCTAGAAGTACAGCCCCTGGGTAGAGAGTCTGTCGAGCATGAGTAAAGTTCTAGGTTTAACCCTCCCACTACCAATAAATTAATTTTTAAAAATGTCTGTTTTTTACATTGTGTAACAATAAACTGGCCAATTTCTATGTCTTTAATTGTAATAGTAAAATTGCTTTTCGAATTAGTGGCTGAGGTCTGCAATTGTTCTTGCAGACGACTCATGCAGTGGCTTACAACCGTATGTAACCCCAGTTCCCGGGGGCCCGACAACCCTCCTTTGACCTCCACAGGCACCACGTATGCACATATACGTACAGAGGCAAACTATTATTCATACACATAAACCTTAAGAACTTTATTTATTTTTTAGAATTACTAACTTCTGCAGACACTGGCTTCAGTTTTTGTCCCCTTAGAAGTGCTGATGGTGCCCCCAGGCCACAAGTTCCCCTTCACACTACATCAGCTCTTCTCCAATCCCACACCGAAAGTCGAGGCTTTCTCCCTCCTGTGCTGACGCTGTGCTGATTCTGTGCAGGCTGGACTCACTTCCTCAATCTTTTGGATCCCAGAGAGTGAGCCTGATCTTTATAAAAAAAGTTACAGCTTTTTTTTTTTTTTTTTTTTTTTTTTGGGTTTTTTGAGACAGGGTTTCTCTGTGTAGCTTTGCGCCTTTCCTGGAACTCGCTTTGGAGACCAGGCTGGCCTCGAACTCACAGAGATCCGCCTGGCTCTGCCTCCCGAGTGCTGGGATTAAAGGCGTGCGCCACCACCGCCCGGCTAAAGTTACAGCTTTTATTATTAAAACAGTTCCTGTTTTGTTTCTTCCAATGAGGAACATAACCTCTCTCTCTCTCTCTCTCTCTCTCTCTCTCTCTCTCTCTCTCTCTCTCTCTCTCTCTCTCGTTTTTTTTTTTTGAGACAGGGTTTCTCTGTGTAGCCCTGGCTGTCCTGGAACTCACTCTGTAGACCAGGCTGGCCTCAAACTCACAGAGATCTGCCTGCCTCTGCCTCTTGAGTGCTGGGACAAAGGTGTGTGCCACCACTCGGGCTCCATAACTTCTTTTTGAGGAAAGGTCTTGCTATGTACTTAGCCCCGGGTGGTCTCAAACTTCAGTAACCTCCCCCTCCCCTTCCCAAGTGCTGGGATTACAGGTTCAAGCCATCATGCCTGCTTATGAGAATGTTTTTATCAGGGGGCTGGAGAGTGGTGACTGCTCTTCCAGAGGGTCCAGGTTCAATTCCTAGCACCCATATGGTGGCTCACTACCTTCTGTAACTCCATTTCCAAGGGGATCCAACACCTTCTTCTGGCTTCCACAGGCACTGCATATATGTGGTGTACAGACATACATGTGGGAAAATAGCCATACTTGTAAAGTAAAACTAGACCTTAACACAAAAAGGATATTTTTATTGGATCTTCTGGAACCCTAGGGCAGGGTGTGCATGAGGAAGTGGGTTGGGCAGTTGTCTCTCTGACTCCCCTCTGAGCTTGTGTAGTGGAAAGCAGGGCCATCTTGCTGGAAGAGCCAGAACAGATCTGTGGGCAGGCGTGGGCTAGAGTCTCCAGTTCTACTTTCTGTTCCATGGTCCTCATCTGCCCTGACCAGTAGAGCACGCATCACTCTGCTCCCCAGCCTACCAGTCTCTGGCTTCTGTCCCAGGGTGCCGGTCACACTCTGCATCATCTTGACTTAGTTCTCCAGCATCTGTTCACAGGTGCGTGCCACATCACTGATCTTGAGGCGGGCGTAGTCCACTCGCTTTAGCGCCATTTGACAATCCTTCCTGGAAGAGTAGCTGGAGCCCTCGTGGGGCTGCCCTGTGGCCACCTACAGGACAGTTAGATCGATCAGTGGAGCACTGCCTTTCTTGACCACCCCACAACCAGACATCAGGTCTCTGATCTCATTTCTGTCCTGAGTTTGATCTACCTTAGCTGTGTGGTAGCTCAGTGATCTAAGGCAAACAAACCACTTAACCCATGTGAACCTCATCTGTGAAATGTGGCCGGCAGTGAGTACTTCCTAGAGTTGGAGGATAAGACTGCAGAGTAAGGACTTTGGCCTAGTGCTGTCCCTTTACTTGGTCCCCAAGCGTATGGGGTGTCATCAGGTCAAGTTTCTGGGAGCAAAGTTCAGTGGCTTCAGTTTTATGTTTTGTTCAGCACTGGGGCCTCCTTTATAGTAGGCAGGTGCTCTATCATGGGGCCCCGCCTTCTTTTTTACCTACTGGGTCTAAATTGCCCAGAAAGGTTTTGAACTTGTGATTCTCCGGCCTCTTGAGTGGCTGAGATTACAGGCCTATACCACCTGGTTTGGCTAGGTATTGTTTACACACCCTATACACTTTTAATCCCTAGCTTTAAGAGGACTAAACCAGCCCCGAAATGAGGCTACTTCAAGCCGGGCGGTGGTGGCTCACGCCTTTAGTCCCAGCTCTTGGGAGGCAGAGGCTGAGGCAGGCAAATCTCTGAGTTCGAAGCCAGCCTGGTCTACAGAGCTAGTTCCAGAACAGGCTCCAAAGCTACACAGAGAAACCCTGTCTTGAAAAAGGGAAAAAAAAAAAAAGAATGAATGAAAAAGAAAATGCCTACGCCTGCCTAAGAAACAGTCTTACCCAGCTAAAGCTCAGGGAACCCCTAAGGCTAGGGCTGTGGTGGAGAGCTGGGGTCCCCGCCCAGCACCTTCTAAACACACCCACCTGGGTTAGGTAGCGGATCTGAGCCGACAGCTCCGCCTCCACGTGCTGCACAGAAGCGGTGAAGGCTGCCGCCTGCCGGTCCAGAAGCCGCTCGTTGGTTTTTTCCTTGGACAGTTCCAGGATCGCCGTTCCTGCCAGGGCGGGGAGAGGGCGGGGAGAGGGCGGGGAGAGGGCGGGGAGAGGGCAGGGAGAGGGCGGCGTTAGACGGAGGCTGGCCACGTAGCCCCGCCCGCAGGCCAGCACTCAGGTCCCGCCCACACCGCGCGCGGAGTCCCGCCCGGCCTTCTCTCCCTGAGCTCCGCTCCTCGCCTCCCGAACCTGCGTTCTGGAGGATGGCGCCGATTTCGCGCTCGATGTCCTCCAGGGCGCGCAGCCGCTCGTTCGCCAGGCTGTAGGTAGCCATGGTTCCCGTGGAAAGTTCCGCAGGCCGTCTTTTTCGAGATGGGGCGCCAAGGCCCGGAAATGCCTGTTAGTGTGCGCCGGCGCAGAGGCCACTGTAGCGAACACTACAATTCCCAGGGTGCTCAGCGCGGCCTCGCCCTTCCGGGTCCACCTGGTCTAGTAAGACTTCCAGGGCTCTAGTGCTAGGTCAGATCGTGGGGGGTGGAAAGAGGCGGTATTGACTTTTTTGTTTTCTGACAGGGTCTCGCTGTAGACCAGGCTGGGCAGGAACTCACAGAGATGAAGATACTCTAAAGAGACACTTGGGTCTCTTCATTCTGACTGTCAGACAACTGAAATAATGGATCCCAAAGAAATGGGTATTTTCCTAGGACTCTCATGCTGGGAGAAGGAAAGGGAACCAGCCAGAGGGGGAACTTGTCTTCCAGAGGTTTTACACAGTTCTAATAACCTGCACACCACATTACAGAATGAGACTGAACCCAGGTAATGATGCGTCAGTGGTGGGTGTGACCACCCCTTGACTGGGGCTACTTAGATGTACACCTTCTTAGTCCTCTATAAATAACCTTGATGTTACTTCAGGACCGTGAAGGCTGACTAAAGGGGCTTGCTGGATCTCTTTGTCCCTCTTCCCGATGTGGCCACATTGAGTAAGTCTCCTTTTTCGGCATTCCACTTTTAATTTGGCTGTTTTAATTGATTTATTGAGGAAGAGTGGCCCGACATGACTTTCGCACAAGTTTTGCCCCTCACCCCAACCCCGCAAGTTGAATAACAAAGTCTCTGCCTCCCTAATGCTGGGATTAAGGGTGTCAGCCACCACTGAAACAGTTCTTGTGGCCCAAAAGCTGTTTAGACCTGTCAGATTTAATTGACACTGTCTGATGGCATTATTGAATTTATAAGAATTTATTAAGCATTGGCCCTGTGCAGGTGAGGGCGGTGGAAATTCGAGTGTGTTCCTCCGTACTGGGTAGTCATGGGCTCTTTGCTGACCAGTCTCTCCCAAGGGGAGCCTGATGGAGTGTTAAGCTATTCTCCCTAAGGCTCCTTCCTGATCCGGAGTCCAGGTGGTTCTCAGGTCCTGGCTCCTTCCATCCACCTTTCTATTTCTGATTATCAATTAGGTGCTAGCTCCAGGGATATAAAGACAAACGATATGGTCTCCCACTCCAGTGTTTTGTTAGTGCAGATGCAAAGCTTTTTTTTTTTTTTTTTTTAAAGATTTATTTATTTATTATGTATACAGTGTTCTATCTACATATACACCTGCAGGCCAGAAGAGGGCACCAAATCTCATTACGGATGGTTGTGAGCCACCATGTGGTTGCTGGGAATTGAACTCAGGACCTCTGGAAGAACAGCCAGTGCTCTTAACCTCTGAGCCATCTCTCCAGCCCGCAAAGCTTTTTTTATTTTTAAGATTTATTTGCTTTACGAGTATGGGTGTTTGGCATGCATGTATGTCTGTGCACAATGTGCATGCACTGTCCATGGAGATCAGAGAGAGCATAGGATTCTCTAGAACCAGAGTAATAGGCAGTTCTGAGCCACCATGTGGGTGCTGGGAATCGAACCAGGGTCCTCTGAAAGAGCAGTCAGTGCTCTTAACCACTGAGCTTTCCCTTCAGTCCCAGGAAAAGGATTCTTGGAGGAAGTGGTGTTTGAACTGGTTTTTGTTTTGTTTTGTTTGTTTTTCGAGATAAGGTTTCTCTGTGTTGTTTTGGTGCCTGTCCTGGATCTCACTCTGTAGACCTGGTTGACTTCAAACTCAGAGATCCTCCTGGCTCTGCCTCCTGAGTGCTGGGATTAAAAGTGTGCGCCACCACGCCTGGCCCTCTGTCATTTTTGCCCCTTCAACTGTATACCCAGGTGCCCACCAAGGTGAAAACCCTGTTTTCCATTTCTAACAAAGAAGTCTCTAAGACCTTGGAAGAAAAATTGGGGAACTCTTCATGCAAGTAAAATAAATGAAAAGAGCAGCTGGGTGTGGTGGTCCACGCCTTTAATCCCAGCATTTAGGAGTTCAAAGGCAGCCTGGTTTACATAGCCAGTTCCAAGGCCAGCCAGGACTACATAGTGAGGCCCTGTCTCAAGAAACAAACAAAATGACAAAGAGGAATGGGAAAACGGGGCATATTGTCACATGCCTATGACCCTAGCCCTGGGCAGGTAGAGGCAGGAGGATCAGAATTTCAAGGTCATCCTCAGCTAAACAGTGAGCTCATGGCCAGCTTGTGCTCAATGGAATTCTCTCTGCAAGGAAACCAAACAAACTAAAAACTACACTAAAAAGTGAAGAAATAAGTAGTGATGGTGCTAACCTTAACGCCAGGGGCCCCAGACAGCAAAGTCAAGGCTAACCTAAAGACCCCAAATGCTGGCACTGTGGCTTAGAAGCTTTGTGTGGAACTCTGGGTTTTATCCTCAGCCCGGAAAAGAAAAATGACCAAAGAGAAAGGGACGGGAATGAGTATGGAAACATTAGATGATGGTTGGGGGCCAGAGGCTAGTGGTAGTTGGCTTCGCAGTGAAGTGGTAACTAAACCAACAGTAAGTTCTAGGGAGCAGACTGCCCTTAAGTTAGTGGTCGTGATGTGACTTTGGGTAAAGCTGGTACTAAAATTCAGGGGCTTATTTGAAGTAATTAAACCACCAGATCTTGACTTCACACATCTTGGCAACTACCCCCTATGCCAGGAGAATACTCAAGTGTTTTTTCTTTTTTTTAGATTAGAACCTCTAGGGGCCAGAGAGATGGCTCAGCAGTTAAAAGCACTGACTGCTCTTCCACAGGACCCGGGTTCAATTCCCAGCACCCACATGGCGGCTAACAACTACCTGTAACTCCAGTTCCAGGGGATCTGCCCGATGCCCTCTTCTGGCCTCTGTGGACACACATTCACTCAAGCACACACACACAAATAAATAAATAAATAAATAAATAAATAAATAAATAAATAATGAAACAAAACAAAAAATTAGGATCTTGCTGTGTACCTGGCTGGCCTGAGAAATACTACAGATCAAGCCGGCCTCAGAGATTCTTCTGTACTGTTTCTGCCTCCAAGTACTGGAGGTACATGTGTGCCACCACACCTTGCCTCAGAGAGTTCTTTTTGGAGATGGAAATCAGGTCTTTTTGCTTGGTGGGTACCTGGGTACAGTTGAGAAAAAAAGCATGGCACTGAAAACAAATGAAGTGAATGTTTATGTACTTGGTTATGGTTTCTACACTTGACAGCCAAATTTATAGTTTCCAGGTTCAAGATTCCAGGATGCTCCTTGGGAAATTTGATTACTCCGAGAAACGATCTAATTAACACCAGGGTTCTAACAAAGTCCTTAGCCAGACAAGACCATGTTGAAATTCATTGCTGGTAAGTCCTGGTGTATACATGGAATAGTTAGTCAACTTCTTTTCACCTCAGGCTCTCCTGGAATTGGACATCCTCCTGCCTCAGCCTCTTGAGCGCAGGGATTACAAATTCACACTACCATTCCACTTTTGAATATGACCAGACAGAAAAGGATTTCTAGGTATTTGAAGAACTTTCTAGCTTGAAAGCAATAAATACAGAGGGAAAACAAATCCTCGTGGGCTCAGATAAGAGATTTTGTGTGTTCGATTGATTTTTTTGAGACTGTGGCATATTCCTGTGCTCAGAGCTAACTTGAAAGACTGGGGTAGGAGGATCACTGGAGCCCAGGAATCTGTGGACTGCCTGGGCAACATAGCAAGAATGCTCCCATTTATTCTGTTTTATTTATTTTCTGAGAGTGTCTTGGTATGTTGCCTATGTTCCTTGCCTCTTCTTCCAAACAAACAAACAGGGTTGATTACAGAAGAATGGCATGGAAAACTAAATCATGAAGATATGAAAAGATCATCATGGGCTGGGCATTGGTAGCACACGCCTTTAATCCCAGTACTCCAGAGGCAGAGGCAGGTGGATCTCTGTGAATTCGAGGCCAGCCTGGACTGTATATCAAGTTTCAGGACATCCAGGGCTACACAGAAAAACCCTGTCTCAAAAGGAAAAGAAAAAAGTCCATCATGGGAAGAAAGAGAAACTGAGGAACTCTGCCTTCAGGTAAAGAAAATGAAAAGCTGGTATGTAGCAGGTGGGAATTTGAGCACCAGCCAGTTCCAGGCCTGTAACATGAATTGCTAAACGTTTTTTTTTTAATTAAAAAAAACAACCCGGTACTAGATATTGGGGTAAATGCTGAAAGATCAGAGAGATAAAAGAACAAGCTACTGCCACCTCTTACATCTAGGAATCCTCAGCCTGAAAAGCTCCAGCCGAAAAAGCCTTTAGTTTCTGTCTCCTCACCCTTATATACCTTTCTCCGCCCAGTCATCACTTCCTGGGATTAAAGGCATGTATGCTTCCCAATACTTGGATTAAAGGTGTGTGCCATCACTGCCTGGCTCTGTTTTCTCTCCTAGACTGAGTACATCTCATGTAGTCCAGGGTGGCTTTGAACTCACAGAGATCCATATTTTGGATCTCTGACTTCCGAGTGCTAGGATTAAAGGTGTGTGTCACCACTGTCTGGCCTCTATGTTTAATCTAGTGATTTGTTCTGTTCTCTGATCTTCAGGTAGGTTTTATTAGGGTACAAAATATATATTAGCACATTTCCCCTTTTTTGTCTAAAATAATAGAAGGTTATAACCGATATAAGAAAAACTATATATAATAAGTATATATAATATATATTATATATTACATTAACAATGTCCAGTCTATTTTGATGAGTCCAAAGTATTGTACTTAATTCACTTTTGTTTGTTTGTTTTTTGTTTTTTCTTTTTTTTTTTTTTTTATTTTTTGAGACAGGGTTTCTCTGTGTAGCTTTGCGCCTTTCCTGGATCTCTCTCTGTAGACCAGGCTGGTCTCCAACTCACAAAGATCTACCTGCCTTTGCCTCCCAAGTGCTAGGATTAAAGGTGTGCCCGCCGCCGCCGCCGCCACCCGGCTTGTTTTTTGTTTTTTCAAGACAGGATTTCTCTGTGTAGTTTTGGTGCCTATTCTGGAACTCACTCTGTAGACCAGGCTGGCCTCGAACTCACAGAGATCCGCCTGGCTCTGCCTTCCGAGTGCTGAGATTAAAGGCGTGGGCCACCACCACCCAACTTAATTCACTTTCTATTCTAACTTGTATTGCTACCTAAAACTGTCTTTTGATGTCTTTCAAACTTATACACTTGGGGTTGGGATTTAGCTCAGTGGTAGAGTACTTACCTAGCAAACGCAAGGCCCTGGGTTCAGTCCTCAGCTCTGGAAAAAAAAAAAAAAAAAAGACAAAATAACAAATTTATATACTTTATACCTCTTTAGTGAGTTTCTTTTCTGTTAACAAGGAAAACTATAATTTTAACTATCTAGTCTTCAACTCCCTCAGAGACCTGAGAAGGAAATAATATTACTTAAGTAAGCAGGAAGTGCAAACAAGCAATTTCCAAAAATGTGAGAAATGACAGAAACAGTTGTCTGCCTAGACAGTCACCCAAAGTTCCTCTGCAATGTTAGGGCATCCATCTTCAGCCTACAGGCCTAGCATATCTGACAGACTCATCTGTGAAGCAGGATTTCCTAAAGGGCCTTCCTATATTGTCTTGGCAAGGTTTGGCAGTCCTTTCTTTTGTGTCCTGCTTGTCCATTTTGGATAGCTTACTGTCAGCAGTTGAGGCAAGGGCACTTTCTTGCCCAGTGGCTAACTTTCACCACAAAGAAAGTAAACTCCATGTGGAGTTTCTTTGATGCCCATCATCTTCTCTGAAGGAGATTGGTGCTGCCAGGAGCAGACATGTCTCATTGTCTTAAAAAAAAAAGAATCTATGTTATTATAAAATCTTAAATGCCATGTTCTGTAGATCTCTGAAGTGTTTGAAGATGACCTGTCTATCTAAAATATATCTGTTTGACCTTGAAAACATACCTAATATACTTACAAGTTTGATTGTAATGACTAACTACTAACTTGCATTTCTTTATATCCTAATTAGTTGGTAATAGTAACTTTCAAGGGCTAGCAAGTTGCACTACATTGTTAAATGAACTGTATAGGTACACTACCTTGAACAAGATAAGAAGTGTATATACAGTATATTCCAATAAAATCAATCTCAAATTTGTATCAATATACAAAATTTGTATATAATATACAAAAATCCAATGTAAAATAATTAAAACTAGTAGTTGCTTTTTAAAAGTAGATTCAATAATCTGCCTTTTTTGTCTTATCATATCCATATCCTCCCTTTTTTCTTTTCAGAGTAGATTCAATAATCTGTCCTTTTATCCTATCATTTCTATACCTTTTTTTTCCAGAGTAGATTCAATATTCTACCTTTTATGTTAATCTATATTGCCGTTTTTTTTCTTTTCAGAGTAGATTCAATAATCTACCCTTTTATCCTATCGTTTCTGTATATTTCTATATCATATCCCCCTTTCTTCTTTTAGAAGGAGACTGAGTATGACCAATTACACTTTTTAACCAACCCCTCCCTAAACAACTACAAATATCCATAATCCATTTTTTGGGAATGTGGCTATAGTTTTCTAGGCTACTTTCTGCTGATTGGGGATACTGGTAGTCTTATGGGGACACAAAGAAAATGTAGGATTATGGTCAAGTCCTGATTGTGAGGCTGTATCATCTTAGCTAGGCATCTCGATATTGTCCTGAGCAGTTTGTAGTCCAAAGCCCATCTTTGGGTAGTGTTTGTCAGCTTAATGGTGTTATCATTGTCCTGATAGAATCCTCATTGTGGGATCCTATCATCTTTTTGTAGACTTCAAAGTCACTGTTAGTCATGGTCATGGCTCACTGCAGAAAATCTTTTTCATGCAACATTTTTTCCTGATGATTCGTCCTTTTTCTTCAGATGTCTCATTTGTCCAGTGTTCTTCAGATTCCTTGGCTGGATGCCTTCATTCTCCTGCAAGACAAAAACAAAACCCTTCCCCAACCCTAACTTTGGAGTTTCTAAATCTAATCTTTATCAATTTTGATTTATGTTTTTTTGTTTTCTCTCCTATAGCTATCACCCCAAGCAGTATGGTTTTTTACAAATAGGCATTAGGTTCTTTAATTGCTCTGAAAAGAAGTTTCTTCTACAATGATAGGAAAGGACTGAACCAAATTTGCCATGGGGGCCTGCAAGAGTCCCCTCAGGGAGTTTTCCAATGGCAAAGGCAAGGGATTACCTTGTCTGTTCCTTGTTGATCTACATTTGTTAGTCCAGTGTCTGCCTTTGCCACACCTTTTGCATAATACAGAAGGGAGGGGCATTCTGTTGGGATTTTTCCTTGAAAAAAACATTATTTCAAGAATACCCTGTTTACAGTCCTTTTTAGATGACCTTGTTTACTGCAACATTTGACATTACTATTTTTCTTCAAACCTCTGGCAATCACCTCTCCTATCCAAGCACCGTCATGATCATGAGATTCAATATTAATTGTATCTCAGATCCATTCCTCCAAGGGTACTGATCTTGCTTTTAATGGCCTAACCTTTTTTTTTTTCAAGATTTATTTATTTGTTGTGTACATTGATGATTTGCCTGCATGTATGTCTGTGTGAAGATGCCAGATCACCTGGAATTGGAGTTATGGACAGTTGTGAGTTGCCTTGTGGGTGCTGGGAATTGAACCTGGGTCCTTTGTAAGAGCAAACAGTGTTCTTAACCACTGAGCATCTCTCCAGCCCGGTCTAATTATTCTTTTGCATTGTGCATTAGTATTTTCAAAAGCCAGAGATTTTGAAAGCTAGATTCTGTCTAGCTTCTGAATTTGATATCATTCTTTTTACTGCTGAAGTCAATCTTTGTAAAAAATCAGTGAAGGTTTCTTTTGGGCCCTGTATAACTTTTGTAAATGACTCAATTTTCTTTCCTACTTCTTCAGTTCTGTCCCAAGCATTCAAGGCTGCCTTGTGGCATAAAGCCAGGGTGTGGTCATCATATAAAGATTGTCTTTGTACATTAGCATAATCGCCTTCTCCAAGAATTTGATCTTGGCAAATTTCAATACCTCTAGCTCTACTTTGTTGTTCAATGGTCTTAGCCTCATTTTTCCACCAGGTCCTCCATTGTAAATCAGGACCACCCTCTAAGACTGTCATAACCAAATCTCTCCAGTCTTGAGGGATAATTCTATTACAAGTTGACCACGAGTTTAACATCTACTTCATGAAAGACGAGTGGATGCCATATGAGACTATTGCTTCTTTGAATCTCCTCAAATCTAACATTTGCACAGGAATCCAGTCAGCTCTTACACAGCCTCGAGGACATCTATCACTGGGTAGTTCCTGTAAGGTTACTGAATAGATTAAGGTTGGCTGTTTGAAAGCCTTAGGCTGTTTCTCTGTAACCTTATAATGCAATGTTGAGATTGGTTCTCCTTTAAATTCTTCTGTCTGGGTCGGAGTTTCTCTATGATCTGTTTTAACAAGTTTTTCTGAAACTTTTATCTTGGCACTCATATTAACCAACTTTTTTAATGATAAAACAAAAATGTTCAAACAAATAATATTTATAATTGACATTATAGCTATCCCATCAACATTAATTATCCTCTCATTTAATTGTTCCATTTTCAGACTGTTTAATGTATAGTCAAACAGAGACCAAATGCCTTCCTTGTAAAAATGTTTCCCACTTTTTAATGTGGGAAAAAACTTTCTTTTAACTAATTCATCCCTTTAGGAAATCCCAATTGACTCACTGAATCTGCTGACAATGACGATTCAGATGACGGTGTGGCAACAGCCTGAGGAGGGGGCCCAGAGAAAGCCAAAACTCACCGGAAGAGGAAAGAAGCGAAAGATCCAGCCATCTGCACGGGAGACGTGTGTAAACGTTCCTAACTCCTGTGGTTTTTGGAACCCCTAGCATCCTCTCCTCCTTTTCTTGCTCCTCTTTCCTCTCAGAGTTCTCCTCCTATTTATTATGCCTGCCAGCTCCACCTATCCTTTCCTGCCAAGCTATTGGCCATTCAGCAATTTATTAGACCATCAGGTGTTTTAGACAGGCACAGTATCACAGCTTCACAGAGTTAGACAAATGCAGCATAAAAGAATGCAGCACATCTCTGCATCATTAAACAAATGTCCACAGCGTAAACAAATAAATGTACACATCTTAAACTAATATTCCACAACAAGAGACAGTCTTAGCGCTGACCCCAGGCCAACTGAATCACAGTCTGTGTTGAAAGGTCCCCAGGTGACTTGTATGCACAATAAAATGTGTGAAACACTGCCCAAGGGCACTCACTGTACATGCATGGTGAGACCTGAGTTGTCCCTGCCCTGAGCTGGGGCAGGTGGAAAAAAGGAAGAGGGGGAGGACAAGACCTGTGTTAGGGGCCTGGCTTGGAAGTGGCTCACATTTCATCAAAGGAAACTCAGCCATATGTTTTCACCACCTCTGGAAAATGCAGGTCTTTCCTAAGTGGCTGGCTACTGCAGCACCTCAGGAGAATAGATTTTAAGGGGGTATGTAGAGATTCACAAAGCTAAACTTCCAATTAGGAAGACAGAATAAAAACATTTTGGTCTGTACAGACTGTCAGATTTCCACGAGCTGAGAAAGAGGTCATTTCTGAGAGGTGACCATGAACCCCAGATCAATAGAAAGATTGTGAAATATGTCTTCAAGGAGATGAAAGGGATGAACATCTTTAATTTTGAAAGAACGAAAATGTAGACTCTTGGAAGAGAGTATAGGGCTGAATTCATGATGTATTATAAGCAAATTTCAAATGACTATTCCTCAGGGGAAACATTGTATAAAAAGAGAGAGGGCCACAGAGTCCGCCAGAAATCTTCGCAGAGGCATAATTCAGTACTGGATATTGATCGGACCCCAACTGGTACAATACTCAGGGGAATGGGGGCAGGATGGGAAGCATTGTATGAGGATCAGGAGAGACAAAGATGGGCTCACCTTCACCTTCTGCCAGGTTTGTCCAAGCTGTGGCCTGCATCTATAAATTCATCTTTAAATGCGGCCTACAAGATCATAAACTTAAACCATAATGAAAATTAAAAAAAAATCTTGCCACTCCCTTTCCTCCTCTCAGCATTAAATTTTTTTTTGCAGTTTTTATTTTTATTTTTTACTTTTGTGGGTTTTTTTTCTTTCAGTTTGTTTATATGGTGTATTTTTTTAAAGATTTATTTATTTATTATGTATACAGAAGAGGGCGCCAGATCTCATTACAGATGGGTGTCAGCCACCATGTGGTTACTGGGAATTGAACTCAGGACCTCTGGAAGAGCAGTCAGTGCTCTTAACCTCTGAGCCATCTCTCCAGCCCTATATGGTGTATTACATTGACAGATTTTCGTATGTTGAACCATCCTTGCATCCCTGGGATGAATATTTTTTATTTTTATTTTTATTTATTTTTTTATTTTTTTAAGATTTATTTTATTTAGGCCGGGCAGTGGTGGCACACTTGGGAGGCACTCAGGAGGCAGAGGCAGGAGGATCTCTGTGAGTTCGAGGCCAGCCTGGTCTACAAAGCAAGTTCCAGGAAAGGCGCAAAGCTACACAGAGAAACCCCGTCTCAAACCCCCCCCCCACCTAAAAGAAGATTTATATTTTATTTATTCATTTATTATGTATACAGTGTTCTGTCTGCATGTCATAAAAGGGCATCAGATCTCATTATACATGGTTATGAGCCATCATGTGGTTGCTGGGAATTGAACTCAGGACCTCCAGAAGAGCAGTCAGTGCTCCTAACCTCTGAGCCATCTCTCCAGCCCCTGCAGTTTTTATTTTGCAGTTACAGCATAGTCTGCAGTCTGAGCTTTGTAGATGACAGCATTGTGTCATAGGTCATAGCTGGGCGTCTGCTAGATGATGCTGAAAGGGCAAGTCAAGAAGGGGCCAAATGAGTATGTTCAGAGACGCGGGGGAAATGTCCTCAGAGACATTTGAAGGAGGTGGAGAGAGTGGATCCCTCCAGGGAGAAAGAAATCAGGCCTTTACTTTTTTTCTTGTTAAAACTTTTTGTTTGTTTGTTTTTTGGTTTTTCGAGACAGGGTTTCTCTGTGTAGTTTTGGTGTCTTTCCTGGAGCTCGCTCTGTAGACCAGGCTGGCCTCAAACTCACAGAGATCCGCCTGGCTCTGTCTCCTGCGTGGGATCTGGCCTTGTTAAAACTCTTAAAGCTGCTGGGTGGTGGTGGTACACACCTTTAATCCCAGAACTCAGGAGGCAGAAGTAGGCAGATCTATGTGAGTTTGACGATAGCCTAGTCTATGTAGTGAATTATAGGACAGCTAGGGCTATGTAATGAGACACTAAATGAAAAAAACCAACCAAACAACAACAACAAAAACCCAAACATGGTGCACACCTCTAATCCCAGCACTTGGGAGCCAGAGGCAGGTGGATCTCTGAGAGTTCAAACAGCCTGGCCTCCAGAGCAAGTTCCAGGACAGCTAGGGCTACACAGAAAAACCATGTCTTGAAAAAACAAAAACAAACAACCAAACAAGCAAACAAAAACAAACCCAAACAAATACAACCACCACACAAAAGAATATTGTAGCACCACATGACTCTTTTTTTGTATGTATATGGTGCTGTAGATAAACTCAGGGTCTTGAATGTGCTAGGCAAACACTGCTCCAGTGCTTATCTGCCGCCTTAAAAGGTCTGTATTTATTACCTTGAAAATAAAAAGTAAATTAAAAAAAAGAACGAAGCTTGATAGTAAGTCCAAGCATTTGGAAGGCAGAGGTAGAAGGAAGAAGAGGTCAATGTCAGCCTTATCTACTTGTCTCAAAAAACCAAACCAAGGGGCTGTAGAGATGGCTCAGCAGTTAACACTGACTGCTCTTCCAGAGGACCCAGGTTCAATTCCCGGCACCACATAGTGGCTCACAATCAAATGTAACTCCAGTCCTAGGAGATCCAACACCTTCCTCTCATATCCATAGGTACCGCATGCATGTAGTATGCAGACATACATGCAAGCAAACTACCCACATACATAAAGTAAAAATAAAGATTAAAAATAAAACAACAAAAAAATCCAAACTAAAAACAGAGAAAAATGGGAGAGAAAATCGAGATAGACATTCCTGTAAAAGAGACTTTAGAGGAGAGGAGAGGTTTCTCCCCCCGCCCCTTGCTTTCTTCCCTACGTCCTCTCTCTCCTTCCTTTCTTCCTTCCCTTCAATGGAAGGGACTGGAGTGGGTTTATTTACCTTGGAGGAAGAGCCAGTAGAGAGAGAGAGGTTGAAGAGGAGGAGGTGGTTTGATGAACTGAGATCTAGGAGGAGATGAGAGGGGAGGTGTGAGCAGAGATAGAGGGACTGGCCTTGTCCTAGGGATGCACCATAACCTTCCTGTGTTGAACTGTCTTCTACATCGATGTAGGGGAGCAGGAGGTGGGATGCCAAAATCACCCATGCTTTGTTGGTTGGTTTGTTTGTTTTTTATCTGGAAAAAGGGGGAGAAGCCACTGACATGAGGCAGGTGTAAAATTAGTAGTATGGGGCAGAGGAGGAGGTCACGGAGTTATTAGGTATTGAAAGCCTAGCCTAGGTTAGAGACGATCAGTGGTCCTGGATCTCTACTCAGGCCTCAGCACAGTGCCAGAACCTACGGGTTCAAAGGTATTTGTCAATGAACAAATAAGTGTGGTCATGTGATTCCTGTCATTGGCAGTGTACACCAACCAGCCACTGGCCCTAATGTTAGCGTAAAGAGTTGGGGGTGGGTGATGGATCTAGCGGTGAGGTTTTAATTGTGAAAGGGAAGAGAAACCAAGTGTGCTGACGAGAGAGTGGTTGATAAGGTCTTGGATAAGATCTTGGTGTGTGAACTGGAAAGAACACAAAATGTCAAATCATGAGCTAACGGAAGGGTAAAAGGCTTTGTGACCAAATAAACGAAGAAGCCAGTTAGAAAATGGCTAGGGCTGGAGAGATGGCTCAGAGGTTAAGAGCACTGGCTGTTCTACCAGAGGTCTTGAGTTCAATTTCCAGCAACCACATGGTGGCTCACAACTGTCTATAATGAGATCTGGTGCCCTCTTCTGGCCTGCAGGCATACATGCAGGCAGAGCACTGTATATGTAATAACTAAATAAATCATAAAAAAAAAATAAAACTGTTATATAAAAAAAGAAAATGGCTATAAAAGTCTACCTCAGACTAAAAGTGTGGGCATTAATAATATCAGAAGTAAGTGTTTTGCTATAATCTCAGCACTCTGAAGCCTAAAGCTTAAGAGTTCAAGCCAGTCTGGGCTACAGAGTGGAGACCATGCCTCAAAACAGACAACAGAAATGTTTTGGAACTAGATAAAGGTGAAAGCTATACAACACTGTGGTGTGGAGATATCAAACAATGTCACACCATGTGCTCTAAAATAAAAAGGGAACAAGATACAAATGCAGAAGATGCAGCCAGGTGGTGGTGGCGCACACCTTTAATCCTGGCACTTGGGAGGCAGAGGCAGGATCTCTGTGAGTTCAGGGCCAGCCTGGTTCCAGGACAGCCAGGACTGTTACACAGAGTAACCCTGTCTCAGAAAAACAAACAAGCAAACAACAACAACAACCAAAGGAGCAGAAGATGAAACAACCTGGGAAAATACTGTATACTACAAAGGGTTAATTTCCTCTTCCTCCCTGCACCCCTCCTTCCTTTCTTGTGCTTTGGGCAGCTAGGCAAGCACTCCACCAATGAGCTAACAAACCCTGCCTTCTGCCTGTTCTTTCCCTCGGGGCTGGGGATTGAACCCAGGATGCACACAGCCCGGGTGATTGCTTTCTCACCGGGCTGTACTCCAGCCTTTATTAGTGTGCTCATTTTATTTTCCATTTGTCCGTGTGTGCTTCATTTGTTATTTATTTATTTGAGACAGGATCTCCCTGTGTAGCCCTAGCTGGCCTTGAACTCACAGGTTTGCCTGCCTCTGCAGAGATCAAAGGTGTGCACCACCACACCCAGCATTTATTTGTTTTGTAGACAGTGTCTCACTCTGTATTTCTGGCTATCCTGGAACTCAGCATAGATCAGCCTAGCCCCAGACTTGAGGCAATTATCCTGCCTTTGACTCCTAAGTACAGGGATTATAGTGTGTCGTTATGTCTAGATTATCAGTGTATGTTACTGTACAAATTAGTGGGTTTCATTATGCCATTCATGCACATATATGATGTTTTGACCATATTCACTGCCTTATTACCCTCTCTTAACCCCTTTACCCCATGGACCCCTTCTTCTTGCCTATCAGTTCTTTTTCTATGCTACCTTTGCACACCTGTGAGAAAACATGCAATGCTCATCTGAGACTTGATTGGTTTACATGGCAAGATTTTGCTGTATTCTTTAAAAATCTGTATTATATATGAGTGTTTGTGTATGCGTCCCATGGTTCATGTGTGGACGTCAGAGGACAATTTGTCTTGTGTGTTCGGGTATTGAACTTGGGTCTTCAAGATTGATAATAAGCACCTTTGACCACTGCACCATTTCTCCAGCCCTATTTTGCTGCGCTCTTAAGAGCTTTTCATCTATTCAAGGTGTGTGTGGATGGATGTAGCTCAATGACGGAGCACTTGCCTAGCATGCTGAGGTCCTGTGTTTAACAGCCAGCACTGCCCCACCTGCCTAATCCCCTAAAAGAAATAAAAAGGCATCAGCTTGGGAAGTTGGGTTTATCTTCCCCTATAATCAGATCAATATAATCGAGATAGGAAATACCTGGGGCAGGTGAGATGGTTCAGAGGTGAAGAGCAGTGATTTTTTTTTTTTTTTTTTTTTGGTTTTTCGAGACAGGGTTTCTCTGTGTAGCTTTGCGCCTTTCCTGGATCTCACTTTGTAGACCAGGCTGGCCTTGAACTCACAAAGATCCGCCTGCCTCTGTAGTGATTTTTCTTTAGAAGACCAAGATTTGATTCTCAGATTTGATTCTACCTGGCAGCTCACAGCTACCTGTAACTCCAGTCCCAGGGGATCTGACACCCTCACCATGAGTACTGCACATACGTGATACAAAAATATACATGCCAGCAAGACACTCATATATGTTTAAAAAAAAAAAAAAGCTGGGGCATGGTGGCACACACCTTTAATCCCAACACTTAGGAGGCAGAGGCAGGCAGATTTGTGAGTTGGAGGTCAGCTTGGTCTGGTCTACATAGCGAGTTCCAGGACAGCTAGGGCTATGTAATAAAACCCTGTCTGTAAATAAATAAAATGAATATGAAACAGTAACACTGTATTTTACCTGCACTGATATGATTAGAAATATGTTCACCCTCTCTGAACCAGCAACTCTTAAAAAAAAATGTTTAAGTGTGTGTGTGTGTGTGTGTGTGTGTGTGTGTGTGTGTGTGTGAAGGTTATGTGCACATGAACACAAGCACCATGGAGGCCAGAAGAGAGACTCAGATCCCTGGAGTTGGAGTTCTAGTCTATTGTGGGCTGCCTGACGTAAGTGCGGGGAACCAAACTCGGATCCTCTGCAAAAGCAGTCCCATGCCCTCTAACTGCTGAGCCATCCCTCCAGCCTGCAGCCCTCCTTTCAGGGCTCTGTCCTACAGTGCATGTCACACAGCCCAAAAGACAGATCTTTAAGGATAACTTACAAAACAGAACTAAAAAAAAAATAGTGGACATTCAGAATGTCCATTAGGAAACCAGTAAACATCTAGTGACTAACAGAGCTGCTCCTTAAAGGGATGGGGTGGGTGTGAGCAGGGCTTCAGGAAGCCTCTTCCGGGTAACACTATCAAGTGAAGGAAGCGAGATGTGGATGAGCTCATGGCTTGCTGCCCCTGTATTGAGATGAGGCAGTGAGGATTTCATGTGTGTGACTCAACACAAAGAACGGTCTTTGAATAAACAAGGAGGTTGGTAGGAGAAAGAAATCAGGGTCAGGGACGGGCAGGAGGGAGCTTGCCTTTTCACTATTTACTGTTTTATACTGTTCAGATTTCTTTTTTAAGCCATGTGCATGGATTGCCTTCTAAACAGCACTGAAAACATCAGTTTTTGTTGTTGTTATTGTTGTTCTTAAAGGCATCATTCTCCAACCCATAGTCATGGGTTTTTCCTCTGGATCTTCTGACTCAGAACCTGAGACTGAAGAGCCTAAGTCTGGATCTTTATCTTGCCTCCCTGGTGAAGCTAGGTCCATGGCCTTAGAGGTCAAGGAGCAGGGTCACAGGGGTCAGGGACACTAGAGGCAAAGACTTGAAAGGGGCTAGTTCCTTTCTTTACCAAGCCGGCACGGGTAGGGGAGATGGCCTGTGGATAAATGATTTAATTACAACTTCATGAGCTCCAGCACAGACCAATGCCCACGCAAGCTGCTCCCATTTGTCTCAACAAAACCTACCTCACTTCTTGTTAGCTGCTCCGGTCCCTGGTCTGAGTTTATACGCTACCCCTTCCAGCCTTCCCGTGAGGCTTTGCCATGGTCCCAAATGTTTGTCCATGTACACCCCCTAACTCATTTTCAGTTCTCTGCTTAAAGTTCACTTCCTCTAGGGAAATCATCCCCCAACCTCAGCCTACATCACACCGATGCATTCTCAGTTCCCACTCCTGGGACACAGGTAGTGCCACCAGGGAATGATTTAAAATGTGTATGTCCTTATACCATGCTTGGCACACAGTAGGGATGTTCATGGGATGGAGCCTTTAGAAAGGTGTCCTAGCTCACTTTATATCAACTTCACACAAGCTAGGGTCACTGGTGAGGAGGGAACCTTGAGAAAATGCCTCCATAAGATCAGGCCATAGGCAGGCATGCAGGGCTTTTTCTTAGTGATCAATGGGGGAGGGCCCAGCACATTGTGGGTGGTGTCACCCCTGGGCTGGTGGTCCTGGGTTCTACGAAAAAGCAGACAGAGCAGGCCATGGAGAGTGAGCCAGTAAACAGCACTCCTCCATGGCCTCTGCATCAGCTCCTGCCTCTAGGTTCCTACTGTTTGAGTTCCTGTCCCAACTTCCTTCAACATGGGCTATGTATGGTGTAGAAAGTGCAAGCCAAATAAACCCTTTCCTCTCCAACTTGCTTTGGTCATGGTGTTTCATCACAGCAATAGTAACCCTAACTAGGACAGAAAGGTCACCTGCAGGAGTTACAGTGGGTGATGTAGGAGGTGAGAAATGTCTGTAGAGTGTGGCTGACACCTTCCTACCCTGCCTGGCTTTGGCCCACACAGTATGACTCTTACTGAGGTTGCTTGTATGGCATCTGTCTGGTGAGGTATGCAGATGTGGTTATAAAGTCCCAGAAGCAGACTGCTTCACAAACCAGAAGGAACAGTGGAGATAAACCTAACAAGATCACAATGTGGTCATGTGTTGCCAGCCTCAACAGAGAGGCGCCCCCCCTGCCCAGCTCCCTGGACCATCTCACCTTCAGGGAAGTTAGTGTTTTCCTTGTAGAAGACGGTTTACTTTGTGGCTTTACCAAGCTCTACCCTGGAGTGTGCACCAACCAAACCAAGTTTCAATATTTCCCTTGGGACACAGGCATAGCAGTAAACATTTATTGATAACCTGTGTAAGGTACCCTGAAGATGTAGGAAAAAGCATCATGGATGGGCACACTGTACACCCCTCACACTCTGCTGAGAAAACATGTACACACTCATGCCTATTCAAAGGTTTATTTCTTCCCTATGCTCTGAAACAAAGAAATGGCCTTGCCCTCCACACACACAGTCTCATCTTCAAGGAATGGGAGGCAGAAGTGATGACTTAGGGGGCGGGGAGCGGGTTGGTCTGAGGCCAAATGTGGGGAGTTCTTTCTACTCCTTTCTCTAAATCACTCCTCATTTTCAGTGTTCCCTTCCCAAAACCTTAGGTGGGCATACAGCTTGCCACCCTAGGGAGCAGGGCTAGGGCCCCGCAGAGCTGACGGCAAAAGATTAATGCCCACTTTCAACAAATGATGGGTCCAGTGCGTATCTTGGGTGGATGGGGAAGGAGGAGAGGCTGGGACCCTCCCACCCGAAATGACAGTGGGATCTCGGTCCTGCCCCTACCTCTCCCAGCCCCTCTTCCTAGCAGAACTGGTCGTCACAGTCATCATCCTTCATCCCCTTCAGCCGGAGCCGGGCAAAGTCCTCAAACACAATGTCGTCGTCTGTGGCGTAGCTTGGTGACAATGAGGAGGAGACTAGGTAAGGGCTTCTGACCGTTTCCTGGGGCCTCCCACTCCGCTTCCCTCCCACCCCATCCTAGAGTCTGGCGCTTGAACAGTACAGAGAGGTTCACAAGAGACCCGGGGCAGTGGCAGCCTGAACAGGCCGACTCATCTGATTTGATGCTTCTACCCATCTCCCCCACCAGAAGGAAACACCCACAAGGTAAGAGGGTGGCTCTGGACGATACGGGAACCTCTGTCCTAGAGGATCAAAGTAAGAAGGCAGGGAGTGTGCCTTACTTGGTATCGAATTCGATGAGGTTGGTATCCACGGGGACATCTGTTTCCCGGGGGGCTGAAAGGCAGAGGGGGAGTGGGTGGAGGGGCACTAGAAGGATCTAGTACATCTTTTCTCCACTGGCCTGATTCGATTCAGTCCCTCTCTGCAGGGCTCAGGGTGTGTGGGAAGTGCTCACCTGACTGGGGTCTGGGAAGGGTGATGTGGTCATGGGGCTTGGGGTGCATGAGAACAAAAGGCAGCTCCACGGAGACATCCCTGGGGAGGGAGAGGGGCGGCATGAAGAGGACCACTACCACAAAGCCACGGAGCCACAGAGAACCACGTGACCAGGCGTTCCCACAATACTCACCCGCCTCGCGACACCACCAGCTTCACCTTGACCCTGTAGGACACCAGGATTCCCAGCACCTCCTTGTTGGCTCCCTCCTTCACTCTGCAAACGGGAGGAGGGGAGCTGGGGTCAGGGATCCAGGGCTCCTGCAGCGGCTGCACAGGCACGGCAAAGCAGGCCCAGGGCACTCCTCTGTGCAGAACCCTCCCGGGGCCGCCTTTGATCGGCAGCACCCCACGTGCGGCTCCTCTCCCCTACTTCTCTTTTTGTGGTCCCTTCTCACCGTGGGGGCCCGTGTGGTGGTGCAGCGTGTACCCAATGAGAAGGCACCGCTGGGTGAAGCTCCGGCCTTCTGGGGCTCCGGGCGCCCCAGGTCAGAACTGTGTCACACCGCAATCCCTCACGCACACTGGGAACCTTCCCACCTGAGTCCTGAAGCTTGCAGTTCTCTCTGCCCGGAGGCCTCTTCGCTTGCACACCCACCATGGCCCTTCCTCTTTATTCCTGCCGCTTCCCTTGCTCTCCCCACTTAACACTTGTTCCCAACGCGCTATCTGGTTTACCACTTATCTGATTGTCCGTCTTCCCTCCCTTAGAATGTGAGAGGGTTTTGTCACTCGTGTTCACCGATACCTCCCTGGCACCCAGGACAGAGCCTGGCACACGGCCTGCATTGAACGGAAGCCTGTCCCCCTGTCCCCCACGTCCCCCACGTCCGCCGGCCCCGCCCTCACATAGTGCTGGAAGCCAAGTTGGTGTCTTCATGCTTGAGCTGCCCGTCCAGGGCAAGGCCACGCTTCTCCCGGTTGTCACTGAGCAGGGGGGTTATGGTGTACACCTTGCAGAACGTGGAACTGGGGGATACCTGGTCACTGGGGGTGGGAACAAGGGAACAAGATTCTTGGAGAGACTGGGCCGGGGGAGGTTCCCCTCACCACCCTCAGGCAGGACCTCCTCCTTCACTGTCCATTTGGGCACAGATTATGACGGGGTAGGTTCGGACTCAACCTGTTAGTTGACAGCCTGGCGCCCCCTGGCTATAGAGGGACGACACCCTGAGAAGTGAGGTGGGCTATGTGGCGAATTCTGCCTTCTCATGATCTCCCCTAAGCTTGGGTCCCACACTCTGCCCCATACTCACTCTTGCTCAAGCTGAGCCACAGGACACTTGTACTGCGCGGTGCTGAAGAGGCAAATGTCAGCATACTGTCTCACTGTGGGGCAGGGGACCAAGTGGTGAGGCGGGGACTACTCCTGCACCACACCTCCAGACCACACGGTGTGATCCCCGCTTGGGGGGGGCCGCACACCCCCACCCCTGGTCAACAGCCCTCCTATAATAAACACTGAGGCCGCACATCACCCCGGAACAGACTCAATTCTTTATGCCCTGGCAAGTCTCCCACACCGGGATAGGGCCCGGGCGGACATGGCAGCCGAAGCCCCTTGTCAGCACAGACCGCCTCCCCGAAGCCCATGTCCACCCCCACCTCCTACCAGAGACTCTGATCTTCTTGACGGTCTTGGCGGAGTTGTTGGTGACATGGACGTTGACGTTGAGCGGCTCCCCGTGGTAGTACAGCTTTTGGAGGGAGGCGATTGTTTCTCACTGGCTCCGTCCTGGGTATCCCCGCCAGAGGCTGCTCTGCCCCACCCCCAGCCCATACAGCACCCCCCGCCCCAAGTGAGACAACCGCCACCATCCTGCCTGTGGCTTCACCCCTCCCCTAGACTCTGGCCTGCTTTGGGGCATCTCTGTCACCCTCACACCTCACCTCTTTGTCCAGGGAAGCCTCTAGGTGCAGGGACCTCCGGTCAGACATGAGGAAGTGGCGTGTGGTTTCAGCTGAGGGCTGGGGGCCGGGTGTCTCTGGAGCAAACTGTACCTTTCTGATGATAAGTCTCACAGAGTTCCTGAGTCAGGGGTTGGAGGAGGGGAAGGGTTGGTTCCAAGATACTACAGCCCAACTCAGATTCCTGCCTCCCCCAGGGGCCTGGGGCTCCGCGAGGCTGGGAGGGGGAGTGGTTAAAGCAGAGAGTCCTTTCTCTCACCTTTTGTGGCTTTTTTCTTCTAGTGATTTGGCACAGAAGGCACGAATCTCAAAGTCGACTCCGCAGGCCTTGGGAAGGGGAGGAAAGGCCACCTCTTACCCAAGGCTCCCGTCACCTCTTCCAACACACCCCTTCCTTCCTCTTTGCTTCATTCCCCTCAGGTGTGGACTTTTGCCCCATCACGGAAACAGGGACTCTCTGGCCCCACTGTTTCCCTCTAGTCTGGCACCCGGCAGAGGCTGGCTCAGGGCAGTGCACGGGGGAGCCCCCATACCCAGGTACAAGTTCCAGGTGCAGTCCATGTCCATGGGGACACTTCCCTGTCCTCAGGAGCCCCTGAACTTCACCCTCCAGCTCGGCTGTGTCTGGGCTTCTGCGAAGCCCAGTTCTGCTCACATACTGTGAGAGCTGTCCCTCCCGTACCTTCCCCGTGTCCTCTGGTCCTGGCTGCAGCGTGACAGAGCAGGGCAAATTCTGGGGTATCTGTGGCAGAGAAGAGGAGGGGGTTCGGTCCCTGGTAACAGGTGCCTCATCCCATGTCAATCCCACAGGCCCACTCCCCACACCCTTCGGAGAATGGGGAGCATCCTCACTGTGAAAAAAAAGGGATGGGCATGGTGGCCCAACTTCTTCAGCAGTCGGTCCTGTAGCCGGGTGGGGGGCCGGGGTGGGTTGGGCATGGGGGGGAAGGCTTGGTAGGTGGCGATGAACAGGTCTTTGCGGAAAGACAGGCCCAGTACATCCAGATCTTCTCGGCCATAGCGGAAGGCGCAGGTGAGGGTCACAAACACTGGAAAGTGAGGGTAAGGTAGGGTGATCAGGAGTAACCCCTTCCTTCATGTCACCCACATCCTTCCTCAGCATGACAGACTCCCCTGAATCCTACTGTCTGCTCCTGCTTCAGCCTTCCATCTCTCTGGGACATCCTACCGAATGCCAACCCATCAAATGTCCTTCTTTTTCCTGCCTCCCCTCCAGCTCCTGGACTTGGGTCTAGTACCTTTGCGATCCTTCAGGTAGTCAGGATCCACAAGCACCACGCCATCTAGGAAAGGGAAACATGGATTCATTTTCTGAAGGGGGCCTTTCCCCATTCCCAGATGCAGGAACCACCCCCCCACCCCCAGGAGATGAGCTGTTCCCTTCTCGGCCAACTTACCCACAGGATCCACTTTGTCCAGGTGATCTACAAAGTCGCGCTTGCCCAAGTACACGGTGAGCTGAGGATGTCAAGGGTCACAGGGAACATTGGGGAGGATGGTGGCAAGCCACCAGAGCCCTCAAAGATGGCGGTCCTGTCCTGGGCTCCCCTTGGCTGTGTTATCAGGAAGGGGATGCTCCCAGTGTTACTGGAAGGTGGGAGTGGGAGTTTTCCAGATCACTCAGTAAAGTCTTTGTTTAGGCTTTTACCTGCTCATTCGGTCCCTTTTCATACCTCTGCCCACCAACCACAGGTAGATGTGTATGTGTGTATGTGCGTGTTCCCATGTCTCCAGGGAGCCCTCAGCCAGACCAGGCAGTTAGCAGCCCTCCCCACAAAGGGCTGTGCGATAAACAGGCCACAGCCTGGGGAACTATTAACTTTTCCTAGCCCCAAGTACCCTGGGGTGGTTCCTAAGGGAGCTACAAGCTTGCTTAGGAACCTAGCCTGGTCCCCACCCAGCCCTGTGGCTTCTTCAGCCTGTGGCAAGGGGCTTAAGGAGGGAAGGAAGTCTGCTTTTAGCTGTCACAGGAAGTGGGGAGCTAAGGGTTGGGGATCAACTGGGGGTAGGCTGGGCTTTGATAGGGCCCAGGGAGGATCAAAGGGTAAGTAAGTACCGTGGGTGACTCACCTTGCAGTTAGGACTCGACTTCTTGAAGACCCTAACAAAACAGAAAGGGAGATCCCACTGCCTCCCTTAGACTCAGCAGGGACCAGCACGCCAGGACTTATCCCTCCCCAGCCCCAGAACTGGAATTCACCCCAGATCCCTGCTCAACCCTTCCCACTTCTTTTTACAAAGTCCTAGTATTTTCCACACGGCAGCCCCTTGAAGCCAATTGTCAGGACAAACACTTGCTCCTTTGGTGTGTGATCGCCTCTACAGTAATGGCCACTGGTTGCCCCAGGAACCATCTAGAGTCTCCTGAGGGGGTCCCTCCCCCACCAGAAGGAGATGTGAACTGAATGGCTACACAATGTCTGGGTCAGAACAAACACACTTTTCTTTTTTTTTTGAGACAGGGGTCTTACTATGTAACCCTGGCTGGCCTGGAACTTGATATGTAGACCAGGATGCCCTCAGCTCTGAGCTCCATCTGCCTCTGCCTTCTCGATGCTGGGATGAAAGGCCATGAACCACCACACCCAGTCAAACTAGCCACTTTTCAACTGACCTCTCGATTCAAGGACCCCTGGGGTGACTCCTGGAGCAAGGCCTTGACTTTGCCCCTCAGACAGTTTCTACTGAAGGCATTGCTCACATCTGACTATTTCATGAACCTCCAACATCCCCATCTCTGACCTCAGCAGCTTAAAAAAAAAAAAATCCATTTGTCGTTCAAGGCTTAACTCAGACATCCTCTCCTTCAGATTGAAGACTCAGCCTCGACTTTAATCACCAGCCCCCGCTCCCCCTTCATTTTGGTTCCTTTCACATCTTGTTTATATTTTACTTGTGATTTCATAAAGGGCGGCAGCTTTTAGGCTGTGACCCTCAGGACCTTGTACATTGAGGCGTCCCAACACAGTAGCAGCCATGTAACAAAGACGGTGCCGGCCAACGTTTATTGGGTGGCTGCTCTGTTCCTAGCAGTGTTATAGTGTTCTGCACTTATAGCCCAAGGACCAAAGTCGAGATGTTTCTGTTCTACAGTGAAGAAACCAAAGTATAGAGAGGTCAAGAATTTTGTCAACGGTCACGGAGAATGTACATGGTGGGACTCTGACATAAACTTACGGCAGACAATCTGGCTTTAAGTCCCTGCTCTCAAGCATTAAATTGTTGTTGTTGTTTTTTTCTTTTTTCTTTTTTGTTTTTCGAGAAAGGGGTTCTCTGTGTAGTTTTGGTGCCTATCCTGGATCTCGATCTGTAGACCAGGCTGGCCTTAAACTCACAGAGATCCACCTGGCTCTACCTCCTGGAGTGCTGGGATTAAAGGCGTGCAACACCACCACCACCACCACCACCACCACCACCACCACCACCACCACCACCACCACCACCGGCTCAACCATTAAATTGTTAAACTGGCCTGTCCCTGACAGTGTGTCAAGTCGGAGGGGGTTTTCTATACAGGCACTGAAACGATCTAAGCCTAGACTCCACCCATTGCTGGGAGCGTAGGGAACTGTCTAGTGACCCCAGGGCTCTGGCTATTTTGAAGCACCATGCTACCTCTTCTAATGCACTTTGCCTCAGCAGCAATTCCTGGAAAGGGTCCCCAGATAACAAACTGAAATACTGCTCAGTGTTCCATCCTTCCTTCAACTCACTCCCATAGTTTCTACTAGGAAAACCATTTTGTCCCTTCCTTCTCAAAGGCCAAGCAGTCCATACACCACAGGGCAAGCACATAGGGTCACATGACAAACTCATAGGGTGCCCCTGAGTATCCCCAAGCAATAAAGACACATATGGACATGGCAGCGGTTAGAATCATCATTCTAATTTCTGTCCCAATTAGGGCCGACAGCTAGTACATCAGCTAGGCTGTCTCTCTTCCACTTCTGGTCTCCCTCTGCCCTGTGTTTTCCCCCACTAGCAGCCCTGGCAGAAGGCTGTGACAGCCACAATCGGTGTGTCTCTTGGTTAGTTGCTACAGGGCACCTGCCCTCCACATCTTCCCCAGCCATCTCTTGCCAGGTTGGGGAGGGGGAGCATGCACATACTGAGGCTGGCCGAAGAGGCAGAGTAAGGGAATTGGCAGGGAGGTGCCCAGCTGTGGGAGGTAGCTAGAGCAGATGCCCTTTTGTACTTCCTGCTTTTCTCTCCATTTCCTATGGCCCAGAATTTGATGAGACTTGTAGAGAATTATGCCAAGTCAGCAGTCTCTCGTTGGTCCATCTATTCCTTCTCCTGAACCACCCCACGGAAATTTGGGGGCCTCCCCCAAGTAAGCGACTTCCCCTTTCTCTGGGGTGTTTAACGCCAAATCCAGGAGGCCAATATTCCCTCTGACCATCTCTCTCCGATATTGGTCCTCTTGATGCTTACAAGCCTAAGTTCTCATACCCCAAGGGCAGTGGGAGTGGTAGGGCTGATCCCATGTTTTGCAGAAGTGACTGTTCAGGATCAGGCCCTTATTCTTGGTTCTCTCTGGCTCGAGGCACAGAACCCCAACCCATTCTCTTGCTCTCGCTCTCTTGGAACTCAAGCATTCACCCCCTGTCCTCTTGGGGGCGTTGGGTCACAACAGGAAGTGGATTTTGCTATAGACCAAAAAAAGAGAACTCTGGTATCTGGAAGGAAGGAGCCCCGATTGCACAGAAAACATCCGGGGAGAGGATGTGTGTGTCCAGGGCAGATATTACCTCTCCCCCTCCCCGGGACAAGAATACCGCCCAATTTCAGCGAGGGTCCCTATGCACTCTACTCCCTCAAGAAGCTGTTGCTCCTAGTAACCTAGGAGAAGACCGAAGTTTGGTAGCAGAGCTATCTGGCCCTCGGGACAGGTGGGAGCAACCAGACTGTGGAGTATTGGACAGGAGGCTTTCCATTGGTCGGGCATCAATCTAGGGGAATCCCTTCCCAGCATCCAGTCTCCCAGCACACAACCCCTCGGGGCCGGCCACCTGCTCCTCCTTCCTCCGCCCCTGCATCTCAGCCTGCACAGAGAACCCAGTAGTCCGACTCCTACATCTCTTCGAGAACCCAGGCGTGGGTTTCCCGATCCCTACAGCTCTTGCAATCTGCAAGAGTCCAAGCACGCACCCCGCCCAATATCTTTAAGGACCTAGGCTTGCGGCCCCGGACCGCTACCCTCTAGGGACCCAGGCGTCCGGCCCCCGGGTTTCTTGCCCGGTGTCCTTGTCTGGAGATCATCCCCGCACCCTCCGCGAGCCACCGCCCGTGTCCCGCAGCCCGGCCCCACCTCCCTTACCTGGTCCCGGGTTTTTCCCCCATGGTGCGCGCGCGCTCGCCACCCTCCACCAGCCGGGTTCGCGGCTCGCTCGCAGCCTTCTTGCCCGCTGCCAGGTCCCCCCCGCTCCTCCCCGCGCCACTGCGCACGCGCGCCCTCGCTCTTTCTCCTCCTTCCCCTCCCCTCGGGTCTGGGTCTCGGGGAGCCGGGGCCAGCTGCGTCAGCCGGATCCCGCGCGCCGCTGCGCTGCCCGCCCTCCTGCCCGCCCTCCCCGGACTGGCTCCGCCCCACGCCTCCGTCCTCGCTCTCCCTGGGGGAAGCCTCTCCGCGCGGTCCCTTCTCCCACTCTCCCCGCCCATCTCGCCGCCCCTCCTCAACCCCTTGGAACCAGATTGGGCCCCTTTAAATGGAGGCGGCTGCCTTCCAGGCGATTAGAGCCATCTGATTGGCCTTCGGTATCCATAGCCCTGCAGGAATCCCTCCCCTTTGTTTGCTTTCACAGCGGCAGTGGAGGGACGGGATAGTGGGGGCGGTGGGAATGAGCTCCAACGCTGTCGTCTGGGTCTGAGGACCAGGCTCTGCACACGTGGGTGAACCGTAGCAGATGCACGATGGTGCCTGCTTCGGAGTGCGCTGCTCATCCCCGCCTTGCAGCCTTGTGTGGCCCGCCTTCCTGCGTTCTTGTGGTCTTTCAGCTCCCCCTGGTGTATTGTCTTTGATTTTTGCAGGGTCACTTTTAAATTTTTCTCAGACTTTGCCATCTCCTCTACCATCTGCCCCAGCTATCATCCACCCAATCCATCCACCTCTCTCTTTGCCCATCCTTCCCTCCCTCTCTAGTTCGTGTTAGTCACTGTGCCAAGCCATCGGGACAACACATGAATTACCATGGCCTAACTTTCCTGGGATCCTTGAGACACTGACAGATAGTATGCGCCCAGGAATGCTATAATAGAGGTATGACTCAGAACATCAAGCAACGAAAAGCGCTTGGCCAGCAGAGGGGGAGAAATGGAGTGCAGTCAGTCACTCCGGAGGATAGGAAATTTGAGGACAGCCGTTCTGAAGGATGGGCAGAAGTGGGGAAGGACATCCTAAAGACTGAGTAAGGCAAAGCACATCCTGTTCTGAAGTGCTTGTGGGTTAGATGGAAGGAGACAGAGCTGCGGAGGACTAGAACGGGTTGTGGAGGACTTTGTGAGCAGGTGAAAGACAGCCCGAGAAACCGGTGGTGTTAATTTAAATTTTCTCCTAGGGCCTCAAACATGCTTAGCTGGTGTCACCACTAAGCTATATCCCTACCCTCAGTCCAGAAATCGATTTGATTTTTTTTATTTTGTTTATCACCAGAAGAATGTCGTGATGAAATTTCTCTTTTTGGGTAACATGGAGCATGGCGGGGAGGGGTCAAGACTGCTAGAAATACACTGGCCAAGGGGAAATGGTCACTGCTGGAGGGAAGAGGCCACATAATGCCATAGTAGAGGTTCATTTCTGGGGTGACATTGGCTGGGTTTGGGGGAGGATGAAGGATGACTGATATTTCCAGAAAGGTTTTTCTTCTCTTTGTCTCTTCTTGGTGCTCTTCCCCATTTCCCCCAAATGGAATACCTTTGGGCTTCTCCTTCCACATTTCCACACGAAAAACAACATCCAGGAGATGGAAGTCTCAGATCAACTTTAGTTTTCATACAGAGGCCTTGCTCATCACCTGCTCACACCCCCCCATCATCACCTCTTTACTCTTTCATGTCTTTTATTATTTTATTTTGTGTGTATGCATATTGGCCTGCATGTATGTATGTATGTGCACCACCGTTTGTGTGCACAGAACCTGTGGAGGTCAGATGAAGGCATCAGACTCCCTGGAACTGGAGTCACAGACAGTTATAAGCCTCCACATGGGTGCTAGGAACTGAACTCAGGTCCTCTGTATGAACAAGTGTTCTTAACCACGAAGCTGTCTTTCTAGCCCCAATTTGACTCTTTGAGACAGGTCTCGCTACATAGGCCTGGCTAGCCTGGAACTTGCTGTGTAGACCTGGGTGGTCTTGAACTCACAGAGGTCCCTGTTCCTCTGCCTCTTGAGTGCCCAGAATAAAGATGTGAAGCACCAAACTCAGCCTAAGTTTCCTCTTAAGGTTTTAATAATATTTTCTTGACTCACGAATGGCTTTTTATTCAGGTTTGACCCTGGCCAAATGAGTCATGGTCAAAAGTAACACAATCTGTATCTAAAGTGGTATTTGGGGAAAGGGATATAGTTTAGTTGGTAGAGTGCTTGCCTAGCATATGGAAAAACCCTGTATTGTATCCCGGGCGTTTGCAAAACTGGGTGTGGTGATGTATGGAGGATAAAAAATTCTAGGTCATACTCAGCCACATTCCAAGTTTGAGATTAGCTTGGCCTACTTGAGACATTGTCTCCAACACACACATACACACACACACACACACCAACAAAATATAACAATAACCAACAACAACAGCAACAAAATTACAAAGAGCTATTAGTAAGAGTAAAGAGAAAGGTAGTGGTCTGTATAGCATGAAATCTGTATGGCTCAGTGGGTAAAGGCACTTAATGCCAACGCTGATGACCTGTGTTCAATCCCCAGGACCTACATGGTGGAAGGAGAGAACCAACCCCTCCACCCCAAGTTGGCCTCTGGTGGCCACACAAATGCCATGGCACATATGCCCCTCTTACACAAATATGCAATGAATAAAAATGTTATTTAAAAAATACAGCTCAGGATCTTAGTCCAGGGAGTGGTACCACCCATCGTGGAAGAGTCTTCCCACCTCAATCAACCTAATAAAAATATTCCCCTATAGGCATGTCTATAGGCCCACCTCTCAGGTGATAGCTGAGCTCATCAAGTTGACAATTGAGATTAACAACCATGTTGTATAAGCATTTTTTCAAGTGAAAAAAAAAATGGGAGTGTGGTTAATATAAGCGTTTGGAGGCAGAGCTGGTGTTTGAACCCAACAGGCTAGCTTCAGAGTCTGTGGCCTAATTACAAAATCTTACTTTAAAAATACGGCCATTAGCTGAGCAGTGGTGGTGCACGCCTTTAATCCCAGCACTCGGGATGCAGAGGCAGGCGGATCTCTGTGAATTTGAGGCCAGCCTGGACTACCAAGTGAGTTCCAGGACAGCTAGGACTGTTACACAGAGAAACCCTGTCTTGGAAAATTAAAAATAAAATAAAAAATAATGCCATTAATGACAGTGAGGTGGCTCAGAAGGTTAAGGTACTTCCGGCCAAGCTGATAATCTGAATTTGATTCCCAGGACCTACAGGGTAAAGGGAGAGAACCAACTCTGGCAAATTGTCCTCTGATTTCCACACACATAATCCACTGCTATACCCCCCCAAATAAATAAAAATGTAATAAAAAAATTAAAAACACTTAGACTAAGGCTGGAGAGATGACTCAGTGTTTAAGAGCACTGGCTGCTCTTCCGGAGGACCCAGGTTCATTCCCAGCATCCATATGGTGGCTTCTAACCATCTGTAACTCCAGTTCCAGGAGATTCAACATCCTAGTCTGCATTCTGAGGGCACAACACACACATGGTACAGAGACATACATACATGCAAAACACCGATACACACAAAATGAAAATTATTTCTTTTAGATTTATTTATTTTATATTAGGTGTGTAGGCATTTTGCCTGAAACTGAAGTTAAATTTTTATTTAATGTGTATGGGTGTTTTGCCTGCATGTATGTATATATGTGCACCACATTCATAACTAATGTCATGGAGGTCAGAAGAGGACATTGGATCCCCTGAACTAGAGTTACAGACAGTTGTGAGCTGCCATGTGGGTGCTGGGTTTCGAACCCAGGTCCTCTACAAGAATAACAAGTGTTTTTAACCACTGAACCACCTCCCCAGTCCCCTTAAGGCACTTTTCTTATTGTCCATTGTAAAATACGTAGATTCTGGCTTCCCTTTAATGGTATCATTCTCTTTAATAACTACACATGCTTTGTCCACAACTTTAAATATGTTCCCCTGCTTTTCCTGGATAAACTGTACTTTTAAAAGTTTAGGCTTCTAAGGCTGGGCTGTGGTGGTACACGCCCTTAATCCCAGCACTCGAGAAGCAGAGGCAGGTGGATCTCTGTTAGTTCAAGGCCAAGCCTGGTCTACAGAGAGTTCCAGGACAGCCAGAGCTACACAGAGAAACGTTGTCTCGGAAAAAAAAAAATTTAGGCTTCTATATTATTTAATTTTTTTTCAAGTCAAGGTTTCTCTGTGTACCTCTGGCTGTCTTGGAACTCACTCTGTAAACCATGCTGGCTTCAAACTCACAGAGATCCACCTGCCTCTGCCTCCTGAGTGCTCGGATTAAAGGCATGCACCACCACTGCTGGGCTATTTTACTTTATTTATTTTTGGTTTTTCGAAACACGGTTTGTTTCTCTTTGTAGCTTTGGAGCCTGTCCTGGAACTTGCTCTGTAGACCAGGATGGCCTCGAACTCACAGAGATCTACCTGCCTCTGCCTCCCAAGTGCTGGGATTAAAGGTGTGTGCCACCACCACTCAGCTATATTTATTTTTTAAGTTAAGATAGAAAATAATGTGGTTTTGGGAGAAGGTGAAGATGGTGGTGGCCTCAGAGGCAGCCCTGGGAGTCCAGTGGTTGCAAAGGGCCACCTGCAGCACGGTGTCACTACGGGGAGCACAGACAGCCTCCCACGTGACCAGGGACACGCTGCCAGGGCCACATCCTAGGACCCCAGAAGAATGGGTCAAGGTCCCAAGAAGTGTAATATGTGTGTGGAAAACTACGATGACAGGCCGTATCCGGATGATGGCATGGGGTATGGTGACTAGCCGAAGCCCCCTGACCACTCAGCATGAGCGGGATCTATGGTATGAGTGGGACCACCGAGACCTGAAGTTAACTGTGGCGAACCTATGGGACCTAGACTTGTCTATCAGGCATGGCGTGTACATGTCCCTTTCATCTGCTTCTTGCAATGTCATGAGTAAACAGATCTTTTCTTTGTGGCCTTCGTGATTTTCACGTTCTGGGTCGGGGAAACTTTCCCCACCTACCAGCCTGTGGGGCTGAAGTAGTACCCTTATATCTGTGCCTGGAACAAAGGGATGATCCTACCCCCGAGCCTGAGCCGGTGGTTCATGTGAGAACTGAGGGCTGCATGGGCTTTTGTGCTCTCTAAC